GGACACAGGGCCAATTTCTCACGCTGAATTCCTGGAACGAATTAGCAGGATGTGTCAATTGGTTAACGAATTCAGGCTGTATTGTGAGGATAGGATGAAGATATTGCAACATGAAGAACATAAACAAGCGCAAAACAGATGGCAGCAATTTCATAATGTCAGAGAAACTGGAGGTATTATTTCGTCTAAATAGCTGGGGATTTCCGCGCACAGCGCAGGATCCGAGACTTTGATGAGACATGGGTGCCGGGTTTGATGGGCTTCTTTCACACCGAATCTATCCTCTATTAGCATCGAATAGGTATCCAGCTCTCCAAGCGACATGTGACAGGATTCTTTCTCGATAAACCTCGCTAGCCCCAGACCTCATCTTGCCAAGCAGGCCAAGCCGGGGCAGGGCTTGCATCCCCAGAGCAGCTTGCATACAGCTTGGGGTCCTCGATCACAGTACCTTCGGGGAGGTCCAGCCCTAGAGTGTAATCTGGGTAGACCCCAGAGCTGAAAGCTCCGCCACCCCTGCCATTGGACCAGAAGACACGGAAGGGGATGTACTCCTCCACGGTTTCAAAGTAGATGAAGTCGCTGTAGGGATATGAACGAAAGCCCTTCTGAACCGTGATATCGGCATTGTTCGCGTTGAAGCCTGACTTGGCCTTATCCCCGAGCCAGACCATCACCACGTCGTCAGCCTCACCAACAATGAACTCGTAAGATCCGCTGAGAGATGCCTTGAGGTAGCCGCGATGGACGAGAATGTTGCACTTGATCGTTGATCCTGCGGGGCCTTGAACCCCTCTATAGTTGATTGGTTGGTTCTCGTCATTTTGGCTGTATCTTGGAACTTCTGAGTGTCCAATACCGACCGGAACACGACCTTGCACGAGATTCTTAAGATTATACGTATTCGCCCTGACATCTGCGTTTTGAAGAGTGTTCCTACACAATGTTGATCTCTCTTCAATTACATGGAGAGCGAACTCAGCGCCTGGCGTGCAAGAAGCCGAAGCGGTTGAAGAAGCGACACCTGTCGGCCCCGTCACAGGGATGGTGGTCGGCTTGATACCGTCAAAGCATTGACATGCCGACCAATAGGCAGCTACATCAGGGCAAGAACTGGCGTACGCAGGCTTTGTGCCAAGGACCGTAGGCGCAGGGGTCTCTTGACGCGGGCCGTGGACGTTTCTCTTTTGCACCGGGGATGGAACCGACAGAGTAACAGTCGGCTGAGGTCTGTGTCTCAGGTCAGCATATGAGCCACCTTGGGGAAGTTGTTTTGGACATTCTAGGAAGCTTACATAGCAGGCACCGTGGCATAGGTGCTCACGAAGGCCGCACAAAGAGATGATCTCGAAGCAAGAGATGGATCGTTCCTACCCGTGCCCGCAACTTGGCGGCCGCAGTTATTGTTGCATATTGCTGCAGACGCAACGCGGGAAAGAAACAAGAAGATGCTTAATGATGCGGGCGACTTCATGATGAGCTAGTAAATGATAAAGGCTGATCGAAGGCTGAATGAGACTCTGGGACTTGCAAGTTGAGCAACGTCTGACAAGATGGGAACATCAATCTTAAATAGTTGATGCCGAGAAATATTTTAAGATCGTGAATACAGTGAAGTGACCCCAACGATAATCCGGACGGTCAATCTGTTGAATAAGTAGACTAAGTCTAGACTTCTCGCATGTGGCGTAGCGGCTGAGCGTTCGGTATGCAGTCGGGCATCCCTAAGAAGGGAGTTTGCCAAGGTAAAGGAAGGGATGTGCGACGTCTTAGATATTAAGACAATTGTCGTACAACTCACGGATGTCTATCCCTGCGCAAGCCATCTGCCTCTGAACGTGGAGAAGCTTACCTGCTTTTAAGGCCATGGCAAGACAAGCCACATTCGTCAATTAAACTGAGAATGACTTGCCATGCCACGTGCATGCAAAGGGAGAGGTTCTCCGATCCATGTTCTCAGAATATTTGCAAGGGAAGCAGATGACTCAATTTCTTCCATGTAGGTGTACAAGCAGCTCTTCGAGTGCAAATACCAGTGTTGATGTTGCTGGCAATCCGCTCGTCGAAGTCCCACGCAAGCAACCTTTGAGATGGCCAGCCCAGCTGAATAGTGCCAAGGTTCTCAAATCGGAGCCTTCATGCCGCTCAGCTACTTGGCCTTGAGCCACTTTCTACGGCATCAGCAGATGATTTAGATGCCCATAAGAATCTCAACTTTTGCGGCGAATAAGGCGATGTGAATCGATGTGTCAAAAACGGAAAACTCGATCGTTGATGGCATCGTCCATCAGTACAATACGATCCTTGAAAGTTTGTTACACCCTCTACCTGAATCGCCTCGTGATTTCTTAGACAACAGAATATTTCCTATAGGCTGACGTAGGTACTAAAGAGAGATAGTCTTATAACGAAGTACTACGCTAACAAACATTCAAGGATTGTATTGTACACATTCGAAAAGGTCAACGCATAAGGTTGGAAAGGGTGAGACCAGGATGAAGATTTATGAGAGTTAATAAGAACAACTCTCAATTCTCTAGTATCTTCATAGATGGCACTTGATTTCGAGACAACTGAGATACGTCGAGGAAGAGATTGGGCGCGGCCGGCTTCTAGCCAAAATCAAAACTCATTTACGGAGTTTGGGGTCTGCTGCGGATGTCACATGATAACAGAGCTTCTTATGAAGGTATGAGAGTTCCTACGACGTCATAAACAATGGGAAAAAAAAGAGCCAAACCCCCGTCCGAAGGTGTGTTCAATGTTGACAAGCTCGTATCCATCAAGTTGGGTTGCATGGGAAGTGGTACGTACCGCGTCAGCAGGTTGCAGTAGTGCACAATTCAAGTGGGCAGTCTTTCGTCGACGGCATGGATACAAATCAGTCCAGTGTGGACAACGAATATTTCCCCTCCGTCATCTATCCAATGTTTGTATTCTTATCGAGCGCGGAGTTAGTCGAGACCATACCAACTTGCCCGCTGACACTTTTCTTTTGTATCATGACTCTATCCGTGTGGCATGTTGCATGATCAAAGGGGCAGATAAGCCTAGTGACCCAGTCACGGTATCTGACAACGGGATGATTTGAGAGTTAGCCGTGATAGCGTGTTATGTTCAGAATTTCTTCGTGTCTGGATTTGGCGGTGAGTACCTGTATTTTGCGTACAGAATGCCAATGCGAAACCTTCTGGCAGGATGCCGGCTTTCTGCTAGGGTTTCGTGACAATAGCTGTCATGGACGCGGATTTATCGCCCTTACCGTCTCTATCGTCCGGCAGCAACTCCAGTAGACACTTTGTGATAACGAAAGGTGGATGGGTCTTGGAAACATGGCATGGCAGGAAGATCGTGATACGTGAAACCCTGTGATCTACCTCCCGAGGCGTGAAATATAAATACCACGTACATCCACAAGGAGAAGGTAAGGCATCATATAATACATCTCATCAGAAGTTCTCGTTCACTGGAATAGTATTAGTCTACCTTGCGTTTAATCTTCCCGCATGAGACTGGCGAAAGATAGCAAAAATGGCTCCTCAACTCCAATTCGCACTTGATTCACCTTTGGCTCGTCATCGCCAGTTGTCGCCCACCGCAGCTATTCGCGTCTCCCCGATTGTCCTTGGGGCAATGAACTTCGGAGACAATTTCAAGGAAAGAATGGGAGAATGCACCAAGGAAACGGCTTTCGCCATTATGGATCACTACTACAGTCAAGGCGGCAACTTCATCGACACCGCGAACAACTACCAGCTTGGCCAGTCCGAGGAATGGGTAGGCGAATGGCTTGCGTCTCGTGGCAATCGCGACGACATTGTGCTAGCAACGAAGTACAGCAGCGCCTACATGACGCACGACAAGCAGCGGCTTCAGTCCAACTACGGCGGCAACAGCATCAAGTCACTCAAGCGCTCTGTCGAAAAGTCTCTGAAAGCGCTGCAGACCTCTTACATCGACATTTTGTACCTCCACTGGTGGGACTATGCTGCGTCTATTCCAGAGGTGATGCACTCACTTAACGATCTGGTCGTGTCTGGCAAGGTGCATTACCTGGGCATCTCGGATACCCCTGCCTGGGTGGTAGCCAAAGCGAACCAATATGCGAGGCTGTCGGGCCTTCGCCAATTTGTCGTTTATCAAGGCAATTGGAATGCTGCCATGCGAGATTTTGAGCGAGAAATTATCCCAATGTGCATGAGTGAGGGCATGGGTATTTGTCCCTGGGGAGTTCTCAATGCTAGTCGCTTTCAAACCGAGGAAGGCTTCAAGGAGCGCGAGAAGCACAACTCTGGACGGCAAAACACGGCATCGGAGCATGACAAGAAGGTATCAAAAGCACTGGAAAGGGTTGCCAACGCGAACGGTGCATCTCTGACAGACGTCGCTCTGGCGTATGTGATGCACAAGGCTCCTTTCGTGTTTCCCATTGTTGGTGGCCGGAAGTTGAGTCATATCGAGGGCAACATCAGGGGGCTTGGGACCAGTCTTACCGAGGAGGACATCCAGACAATTGAGAGGTCTCATGACTTTGATCCCGGATTCCCTCACACCTTCCTGAGTGGTACCTCACTTTTCGGCGGACCTTCTCGGGGCGCGTATCACCCTGGAGACGTATGGCTGACCAAGCTCATGGGCAACTTCGACTGGGTCGAAGCTCCTCAAGCGATTACCCCCAAGACGTCCTAATCAGGAGCTTCATGCACACAATATACATCGGTAGCTTAAAAATCTGCAAACCATTACCACCCGCAAACTAAGTGAATAATATCAAGCTTTGAGGTACATGCAACAAAGTTGACCAAATGCAAGGAGGTTACGATCCAATGCCTGGAGATGCAGCCCATCAAAGAATCTTCCTCGATCTGTAATCTCCGTTAGAGTACATGCCCACTATCCTGAACCAGACCGACGCCGTGGTCCGAATCACCACGTCCGCACTTTGTGGTTCTGACCTTCATGTTTATCGAGGCTATCAAGGTGGAGTTCCTCCTTGGAATATGGGACATGAGGCCATCGGATACATCTCAGAGCTTGGAAGCGCTGTGTCTGCGTTGGAGGTGGGTGACTACGTCATCATTCCCGACACTGTAAACCATGGCCGGCTGGGGATGGAGCCGACGGCTTTGGACTTTTACGGAAACGGAGCGGTTGTGACCGATGGTCTTCAATGTAAGTCCCTTACTTCGTCATAACCCAATTGACAAGACCATCGCGCCCAGAATCATGTGTCGCTGACCTCGCGAAAGCTGAATATGCCAGAGTCAGGTTCGCCGACTCCAATCTCATCCCAATTCCCCTCACTCACGAGACGACCAACATCACCATCGAGCAAGACTATCTCACTATTTCTGATATCTTCGCTACTGGCTGGGCTAGCCTTGACTTCTCTGGCTTCAAGACGGGAGACACCGTGGCAGTCTTTGGGGCCGGTCCGGTCGGGCTTTTGGCGGCCTATTCCGCTGTACTTCGCGGCGCCTCGAATGTGTATGTGGTTGATCATGTCCAAGCCCGACTTGACCGCGCAGCCTCAATTGGGGCCATCCCCATCAACTTTGCAGCCAGCGATCCCGTCGCTCAAATCCTGGCCTCCGAGCCGAACGGCGTTACGCGATCCGTCGACTGCGTGGGTATCGAAGTCCTGAACTCGACACTGGAGCACGAGCCGAACATCATTTTGAACCAGATGGTCAACCTTACCCATGTCGGTGGCGGAATTGGTCAGGTTGGGGTGTACATGGCCCAACCCGACTCGCCCGGCTCCCCTCTCGGATCCACATTCTCGCCCATCGCTTCGTTTCCCCTTTCAGACTTCTTTGGAAAACGCTTGAAGTTCCAAGCCGGCCCTGTCGATCCAAAGGTGTATGCTCCGATGCTTGTTGAGCTTATCAGTAGCGGCAAAGCGAGCCCTCATTTCGTGGCTTCAGCAAGTATTTCAATCGAGGATGTTCCAGCATACTACGCCCGGTTTAACGCGCACGACGAAAGCAAGGTTTTCATCCACTTTCCTTGAGGTCCCAGTAAAGATATTCCTGTATACCATGACCATAGGGAGGCATCTGTAGATTACGGCCTGGCATACACAGACCTGTACATAGAGCGAACACGCATCCCTCAATAAAATCTCATGGCGTACATCGGAACCAATTACCAACCAAAGCCTCTGTCTTTCTTGATCGTTCAGCCCAACCTTCTCACGCAGGGCTTGACTTGCACGCCTCTGAGGACTAAACCACATGCTGGGTAGGCATGAGGGAGAATATTCTTGCAAGAAAACGTCGTCTGATGAACGGAAGAGTAGACTGCCCCTGAGCCTGTAGCCGCTGGGCGTCGTACCCAGCTAGGCGATCGAGGAGGGGCCGAGCCGACTGGAATAGCGCGATCAACGTCTACCTGGCGATGCCGAGATTCATTCAGAAATCTACAAGAATTCCAGCTTTGAATTTCCATGTGTATTTCGGTGGTATAGTTTTCGTGCTGCATCTTGTGCTTGCGGTCCCACATATTATGCAGGTGGCTGACACCTCGCAGAAACTCGCGCTAGTGCCCGCCTGGATTAACATCGGATGACGAAGGTGAGAGGAAGAGTTGCTCGGCCAATTCCTTGGGTCTGACAAATTCGCAAGAACGCGGAAAATAAATCCCTTGCAATGACATGGAAAGGTCCGTCCGGTCATAAATGGCAATACCGAAACCGACTTCCTTGAAGCTTACCATCCATCCGACAAGATATTCCATGTTCTTACTCAACAGCAACCATGCAAAGTGGCCAGCCCCACAACGTTCTCCTGACCGGGGCCTCTGGCTACCTCGGAGGTAGCCTGTTTGCTGGGTTGAAAAGTTACGGCTTGAGCGGCTATGACAAGATCTACGCATTGGTTCGATCAGACGCCCAGAAGGAAGCAGTCCAGCAATATGGCGCTGAGCCCTTGAGCGTGTCCTTGAAGGATGCCAAGGCAGTCAGAGATGTGGTTTTGCAGAACAAGATATCTGTGGTGTTCTACCTGATCGACGTTTTCGAATCGACTGCTCAAGAGAACCTGATCAAGGCCTTGGGCGATTTGAGGCAGACCACTGGGCAAGATGTGCACTTTCTTCACGTCAGTAAATCCGATGTTAATCGACGATGCTTGTTTCACCCCAAGCTAACAAATTCCTCGCAAGACATCTGGCGCAAAGATCTTCTCCAGTGATGCTGGCGCTCCGACAGACAGAGAGCTTTTGGACACCGACCCCAACCTCTATGACATTCAGAAAGGACAAAAAGCGTCAGCCAATATTCTTCAGAAGGCGGGTTTCTCAACAGCCAACTTGGAACACATTCGTCTGGCTAAGGTATGCAAAGTGTGTTGACACCAATAACGCGATCATAGAAGAAGCTGAAGACCATGGGGTACGATCCTACATCTTTGCCCCGTGTATTGTGTGTAAGTCTTGCATGAAATTCATCAGCCCTTGGATGTTGGAAAGGGATATCTTGAGGTATCACTCATGTCCGCATTCTCCCCGCAATAACTGTCATGCCCTTGACCCCTCACAACCCCACTCCGCTACGATATCAGTCATGTCTATCTTCTGAAGGAGCCAAACGTATTTGCGAACCTATCAGGTCCACTCTAAACCGCTGACGTTTTGCGTAGACGGAAAGGGCGCAGGTTTTGGGAACACCATATCTATCCAGACCACGGACATCGTCAAAGCAGCCATAGCTTCTGGTCGGGTTCACTCAGTTACGCCTGATCAGCCTGTAAGTCCAAATCATCTCTTGTGTTACGGGAAGAGGGTTTGACAAGTTCCCTAGACCTGGCCGGTGTGCCATATCAGCGACAACACAGCACTCTATTTGCAAATCCTGCGGTCCATCCTCGAAGGTAAAAACATCGGGCACGGCAGGAATGGCTATTATCTAGCAGCTTCCGGCAGTATCGCATGGGATGACATATATGCCGCGATGGCGCTGGCGTTGAAAATCAGGGGTATCATTCAGGACGAGACTGTCGCTCCTGTTGACGACATCGCTTTGGTGAAAATGGCACAGGGACTCAACACAGATCCCTCTCTCGTTGCAATGAGAGTGGGAGGAAAGTAAGTTCGTATGGCTCAATTTTTACGTTCCTCGTAATATTTGCTTTGCTTGCCATGCTGATTTAATCTCAGGTGCACGTTGACGGCTAAACATGGCGGCCAAATCGGATGGAGCCCGCGATTTGGCCCCACTCATATTCTTAAGGCTGCCGATGTTGAGGTTGAGCACATTCTGAGATACTTGGATCACAGAGCTGGAAAGTTTTGACATGCGACCGCTTCTAGAGGGAAATATCTGGTCATCAAAGGCATAAATGCAGCTTCGAATTTTGACTAATAAGTACTTGCACGTTGACCCAATGGAATGGATCGACCAGGGCACAGGGAGTTGTTTTTTTGATTTCCACATCAGGCAAGGATTCTAGCAAAGGTGATAAAGTCCAGATGAATGCGAAAGGGATAGTTATGATCATCTTCTTGCACTTCTTACGATTTCCAGATGATAGAACCCGAAAAGAAAAGTCTTGGTGTCGCTTAGTCAAAGCCTTGAAAAGGTGGTCCGAAGATCGAGTCACCAGGCTGAAGAGGCTTTTTGTTATGGCTTTCCGCGAAGAGTGCATGAAGACTATCCATCTTTCTCCCTTTGAACGTATCACCGAGAATGACCCATGGGTCTAGCTTCTTCTCCAAGCATCGGTCGCGCCAGCCTTGCCCTACTTAACTGGCCCAAGAGCTCAAGCCAAGAGTCAACTGAGAGTTCGTCTGTAATCCTTCCATCTCTGATAAACAGCTGTGGCAACCCACTTTTTCATCCTCTGATTTACAACCAACGTCCTCCGGACAATGTCGGAAGAACAGATGGTGTCTGGGAGGACACAGCCAGATGATGTCGACTGTGCCCAAGCCATCAGTTCCCTGTCTCTGCGCACGGGGCTGGGGACACCTGCACTTGACGAGCTTCCTCCTGAGCTCATTTTTATGATTTGCTCCTTTCTTCGTCCGATTCGGCCAATGCATGAGGTGTTCGCAAGCAGAGCGACGTACGACTTTGGCACGGTTTACGACACGTTACAGCACGATTGGCGTACGGTAGAACGTCTCTCAGTCACCAACAGACGATTGAGGCGCTGCATCGCTGACAGCGGCTGTCTCTACCGAACAATCATTGTCAAAGGCGATTCAATTTGGCGCGTCGTCTCACTTCTATGGAGTCTGAAGAAGAACCCTGCAATGGGTCCTGCGGTACGAATGCTCTACATGGGTCTTGCCTTCGAGGTCTACCCCAAGGAAGGTTCATTGCCACCGCCTCAGCAATGGCACCTAGACTTCGTGTTGGAGATGGCCACAGCGTGCAATGTACAGTATCCAGCGGCGTTATCATTCTCAACAGCCCCGGTCCCGAGTGACAGTCTTCATTGCGAGTGGACTAGTCTCCTAGCAAGAGTCATTCTGGCCAAGATGCCCAGCATCGAAGACATTGGCATCAAGATCATAAGCAGAGTCTTTAGAGGAACGGAGCCGCCTTCTACGTCCCTTTTCAAGGGCCTGATCCTCCCCAATCTCCGGTCTGTGACCGTGAGACTCGAAAACTGCAGTAACTGGCCTCTACTCCATCTTGGGGGAGGCTTATGGTTTTGCCATGATTTTGACCTGGTTGTAGATTTGAGCCCCGTCAGAAACCTCTACGTCGAAGCAGAGGGCCTCCCTCTAAACATGACGCTTTCACCCTCCCATTTCTCCGGACCCAAGTTTCAAAACTTGACGAACATCACACTGAACGGATCCCCGGTTAACGAGCAGGAACTTGCGAGGATGCTCGACCATTGCACTCTTGTATCGGTCTTCAGATACATAATGTCTCACTATTCCGTCTTCGCCATAGCTCCTAGTATTGTCGTTCAAGCCCTACAGCGCAGACATGCGAAGTCTCTCCGTACTCTATGCATACACGTGTCTAGTCGAATTTGGGGTTTGGGAGAGATCTCAACGCTTGAATCATTCGACAACCTCGAGAGCTTGTGGATTGACCTTGGGTCTATAGACAACTCAAACATTGCCCACGGTCTTGTGGAGGATGAGACGGGCAATGGCAATGATCCCAGCTGGTACAACCCGCAGCCCAATCACTTCTTCTTTACGCTTCCTCGTACCCTCAAGAGAACGTTTTTCTATTGGGTCTCTCGGGGGCACGAAAATTCTGTGGATTGGCTTATCAGCAATCAAGGAGGGCCGTCATTCCCAGAACTTGAGGAAATTGCGCTACATTGCGCAATAAATGACACCGTGGACAGGGTGGGCTCAAATTTCAGTCACGGAGCATCCAGGCACACTTACATTCGGTCTTCTGCGTGGCAGTAGACATCTGTACTCGCAGAAGGGCAGGCATTTGTTCGACAAGCATTGCGTTACGAGTATGGCGTAATTGCGGGAGCTTGGAACTCATGTATGTAACCGAAAAGACATTGTACAGGATACATGTGTTTTCCATGATACGTCTGCAGAAATGCAAAGCCTCTTTGGTATGCGTCTTGTGTTATGTTATGCCCCTGTTTGTCACGATTTGAGCTCCATCTTTGCCATACTTGCAGGCTCCGGTGGCGTTCTTGATCCAGGAGAGTGACCTTCGCTAACCACCTTCCCGCCGCGCATACCGAGTAGATCTTTGAACATCATTCGCGTGGTACGTATGACTGTACTCCGAGATTCAAATATGGGTAAGAAGACAACCATGATGACTGAAGCGAAAAGCCAGGTGATGCCGACCACGACCCATCCGGTGAAGAACTTTGCAGCCGTTAGTTCGATATATGATGAGAAGTAAGAGATGATCACATACTTGTTTGCTGAAAACATAGCCACTGCCATACAGCGGCATCGGCCAAAGTATCAGTAAGACAAGGGTCACACCGACGGTGAGCCAGCGGGCAATCTTGGCGGCACGGTCCAATTTTACCCGCTCGTCTACGTCGCTGTCGACAGCATGGGGCCTTTCAATCATGTTCTCCAAGTCGACATTTGCAGCATCAACAATCTCATGATCGTCTCCTTTGCGGATATTGAGCATGCTTTGCCAGTCGTACTTCTGATGCTTGAAGGGGGGGATGAAGGTGAGAAGTGGAATGAAGACAACAGGAGAGAGTAGCGAAGTGAGATTTCCAGCCAGCATCGGAGTGTTGGCTCCAGTCGTCTCAACGCTCAGCTCGCCATACTTGATCTTTGTCGTGACTAGCCATGCCGTCATGGACAAGACGAAGCCGATGATAGGGCTGAAGGTTGCCGCAGCCCAGGACTGGCCTGACCAAAGAAGCGTCAAAGTTGCGGGGAGAACAGCCGAGGAGATGATGACACCCATCATGAGGTACAGATAGCCCATAGAGATCCCAATGTAGTTGAACCCGGTCGCCAGACCAGCCATGACAAGGGCAAATGCGGCCATACCGATATAGTTGATGCGCATGAGTTGCTTGCCAGTTGCCGCGGGGTTGATGTACGTCTTGTAAATGTCGTAAGTGCAAATTGACGAGATTGCGATGAGTTCAGAGCTGTAAGTCGACATGATGGCCATAAACTTGGTCCTGTCAGGCCGTGTTCTTTAAGAGATGGATCATACTTACCGCGAGAATGAGGGTTGCAACAGCGCCGCCCTTTCCAAGCAGAGCAACGGCAACTGTTGGGAGAACCAAGCCCGCATCGACATCGGCTGCGGGCATCCGGTTTGGGAATGAGGGCCAGATGTCGTATCTTTCCAGGGCCAGTCCAGCAAGACCCATGGTTGTCGCCGTCAACCAAGGAACGGCGAACCAACTTACTCCACTGTCACAACGAATTAGCCTACAACTGTCGGCCCATATTGCGGTGGCCTTACCCCATGACGTATCCTGGCAGTGCATCAACCGGAGATGCTGCAATTGCCTTGTTGTAGTACCCGTTATCGAGGAACACAGTGCCAAAGTTTCCGCACAGGTTGATGATGAAAAACTCGACTAAAAGCTTGTAAGTCATCTACTGGTGTCAGCGTGAATGTTTTGCATACCTCCACCCTGTGATCTCATAGTCAGATAACTACCGCCAGCATTGCCAGACAAGGGCCGCTCGGCAGCCAGATCGGTCAGGATTTCCCACACACGTCCCGGCGAGCCTAAAATGTCATTCGTCGAGTACACTGCGAAAGCGAACACGAAAATGATAATAAGAATGACGAGTCCGTTGATGTAGTCCGTGATGAACGTCGCTTTTATACCGCCGAAAAGGGTATACACCACGACGCCTGTTCGTGTATGAGCATCAATCACACCGTATGCTGCGTTTCAAATCGAGCCCGCTCACCAATGGGGAACAGAAAGACTGAGGCAGCTACTGGAGCGCCAGTAAGGTTCTGGATCACAGCGGATCCTCCGGTGAGAAGCATTGCCGTCACTAGGGTCTAGACTTAGCTCAGTCCCGCCATGATACTTGTCACAAGGCTTACCAAGAATGTTACAGAAGCAGCAAAATACGATGTAGACGCAGTGCGTGGCCGGACCATATCTTGCCTTTACTACCTCTAGGACTGTTGAAACTGATCAGCAAACAGTGCACCGTCATTTAGCTTCCGGCATCCTACATGTGTGGGCGTTTGGCGCTCGTCTCTTCAGTTCAATTGCGAGCGTCGCAAATAGAATGATTTGGACCGTGGCTCCGGAGGCATACCAGACCGGACCAGAAACACCACTGCGTTTTCATGAGCTGTGAAGATTCATGTCGAAGGAAGAGGTCAAGGACGCACTACTTGTATGCGACCGCGGTGCTTTGCAGCAGGGTTGCCGCCCAAGTCCAGGTTGACAGTACGGAAGACGCGACCTATTGAACGTTAGCTAGTCATACTGTCGCCTGACTGCTAGCCACGTACCAAGCCGGACTTGAGCGATCGGCCCGCAGTTGTAAACATCTCGGAAGTTTGTAATTCATAATTGTATCTCTTCAATGCCCACGTGATGACAATCATGAGCACTCTGAGGCGATGGTTAGTTGGTGACCGACAACAATATCAACAGGCAGACTTACGCGAAAAGAAATCCGAGGCCGATCATGAGGCCATAGCTGCCATATGTCAGTCAGAGCTGGTTCGTGTGACGGACGAGAAAGACTGTAGTATGTGACGTACCCCCAGCCTTGATGGAGAACCGGAGTCGAGTCCATGCTCTCTCATGGACGCTCACTAGCGAAGGCGGCAAGAAACAGCGACGTGTCGAATTCGTGACGTTAGTATCAACCGAGAGCAAGAAATGTCTTACTGCTTTGCATTTACGCGGTCGAAATCCTTTGCCTGCATCCGAGGACATCCGTCCGTCTATATACAGCCGTCTCAGACTGATCCTGCACCGCCGACGGGCCAAAGTCGCTGATATCAGCCGCCACTGAAACTCAATGCAGCCGCCCCAATGCTAATGCTGGGCAAAGAGATAAACATCCTCAGCCAAGACATACTATTCCAATCTATCGGAGTAATTGATTCACCCAAGAGATAAGGCCAGTGACAAACGACATCGTGGGGAACTGCCCAGAAGTGACCGACCCGCTGACGTCGCCTTAAGGATCCATGGAAGTGCAGGTGCCCCACGGGGGCGGCGTGGGTGATGATCCTAGGCCATATCCCCGGGGAGTCTTTGGACTTTTTCTCCGTAAAAAGAATAGAGCAATTTGATCATGACCCTTGGATCATCTGGCGAACCTCTGGAGCCATTGTGGTTCTCAAAAATGCTTGTTGCTCGCTTGCGGATCCTCACTTCCTTTGGCGAGACGTGCCCAGCAGCCGAGAGTTCAGTGTTAGACTCTCACTGGCTAGGACCCGGGCGGCCAAGGTATTAGTATTTCTTGGACGTCAGGTACCCTTATCAATTCCCAATCAGATATCACTTGGAGATAAGCTCTTCGTTTGGCTGGGATTTTCTTCAAGCAGATTATGTGACAATCGCGAATCTAAAACGTAAAGAATCTAAAGGTTGAAAACACGAAAATACCGTCCTGAAACTTGAAGTGATGAGAACTTGTCCGTTTGAGCGCTCAAAATGCTGGACCACTGCCGTCGATTGCCAAAACCAGCAACGCCAAGTAGTTATTCCCTCAAATTCATGAATCCGGCCAACATTAATTTTCGGAAGTGGTACTCCAAGTCCAAAAAAAAAAAAAAAAAAAAAAGATAGAAGCCGCATCATATTCAGAGACATAGAAAAATAAGTAGAACTGTGGTTCGTCACAGCCGACGCTTGTGATAAATCAAAGCCGCGGAATCGGGTATGCAGCCATGGTCGGATTTGCCGGCGGCGACTTGGCACTTGGCGCTCGCCGGCGGGCAACAGCCCACATTTTCCCCAGGATTCCGCTCCGCTCTTGCTATGTATGGCATGATTCCTTTCCTTTCACATTTCAGTGTGCCGCTATGATCGCATCTGAACAGGAGGGTCTCCGGACTCGTCGAAGCGGCAGCCGGCCCATTTGACGTTGCTTCTTTCCTGCTTCTTTTAATATCCCCATGAGACTTAGGATTGCTGACCATCAGAGTTAGAGTTGAGGCGTTGAATCTGACCATAAACCAGGTTGCAAACAACTTAAGTAAAAGCTAAACCAATCAAGAGACGTGAACCGAGCTATGCCTTGGCGAGGTGAGTGAGCCGTGGCCCGATAACTCGGTGTCTACGACTGGGCAGGTATTCACAGTGTTCCGATCCAGGTGGGGCCGATCAAGCGGATCTGGTGGATCCCCTCCGGAACTTACTCCGGAGAGTGAGCCTAGCCAGGCTGTTTGGCCTTAGTAAGGTAATTAGCACGTTGCCGTGAGTTCAGGGCGACTTAATTACCAACGACGATCTTTTGGTGAAAGCCGTCTAGAGTGTGTGGCGACTGGCGCAAAGGGTAGTCAATCAAGCCAATAGTTTCAACGGTACTACAATCAGTAGAGCTCCACGAAACGCGTGAACTCGGACTGACAACCGTCATAGCCGGAAGCATCACCATTCTCAAAACTATACCCACATCTCAGACAATATGCACAAGCATATAAGCCATCGTCAAACTCAACAACCGGACTGGCGCCGAGACAGCACGCCCCTCGCTTGAGCCATTACCACCAGTGGTGGTGGGCGTTGTCGTCGCCGACGCCGTTGCAAACTCCCCCCCAACCCATCAAACTCGACACGCTCCTCGCCTGCCCCTCATCGAGTGTGGCTTCACAGCTCTCTGCCGTAGCAGTAACGCTCCTTGTAACGCCGCACGTCACCGTGTGACCCCCCATCCCCGGTATCCCGTCATTCGCGAAAGTAGTCGTGGAGGCATAGTCCATCATTCCTGCCACCTCGCCGCAAACTCCAGCAAGGACAGGCGCTGCCTCTGTCTCGTCCGCTACCAGAAACTCGAACGATCCACCGCCAAGAGGCAGCGCAATACTAGATGAATTCCCGAATCCCGGTTCGAACTTGCACCAAGGGCCGCCTTGGAGGTTCCAGTGGAAGGTGTACGTCCCCGCCTCAAGGGGACCCGTCGTATTGGTGATCAGATGCGGGTTGTCCGGCCACCGAGTTGTGTTTCCAAACTGCGCGGAGATATTGTTCACGGGGAGACGCCAATCCAGGTCGGGATGCGGCTGTTTAAATGTTTCCCAATAGAACGTCCAGCCGTAAGCGTTAGCTGTGGAAGGATTGTGGATTGACAGCAGGACGGGGATGCCTGTGGAGTTGAGGGTGTAGGTCGTGTTTTCGCGGGGAAAGAGGAGATCTACTTCGACTGTGGTGTTCGGGAGGGCTGTAGCGATGGGAAATACGGCGAGAAGCCATGCGAAAATAGGACTTCTCATATTTGTGGTGCAGATAAGCAGTAAGCTCCAACGGGGAGAATAAAATGAACCTTTGGCTTGGCAATGAATTAATGTTAGGTTGACCACACACGCCAGGGGCTTGAAAGCTTGATACGTAGTGGAGCTGAGAGTATGGCTGGGAGAATAGGGACTTGGGAAAGTGGCCCCACGCGTGGGTTGTTAACGGTTTCGAATGATATTGCAACTTCTTCCCTTCTCTGAGCCAGCTCTCCAATCATTGGCAGGCTGGATTCTTACGGTGTGGGATACAAAGGAGCTGGCGCATAGTCCTGGATGGACACCGGCAGCCTACGACTTGCTCCCCATTTGGTTTTAGAGACCATGCAAAACATCTTGAAAACGATCATCCGCTAGTACGAGCTTTGCGCCCGGTCAAGATGGAACATGCCAGAGCATCATGCCCAGTTGAGTGATTTTGGGCACTTCAAGTTCGGGTACGTCAGCACTAAGGCGTCGATATGCAGGTCGCGTTGTGGCGACGCACTCAGGAATGAGCTTCACTGAAATGATTCCCGAACCCCTGTCTCTTGGCAATATACGGAAGCCCAGCCAGCCCTCGGCCTTTTCGAATATGGCATCTGCAAGCTCCTCCCTATTCGTCGGGCTCAGTGATGTCATTTGTTTCTAGCACACCTCCTACCAGATCGGATGTAGACCGTGATGCACATCGACAATTTGGATAATAAGGCCACTTCATATCAAACATCACGTCATTGCAAATCGCGAGTAAGCCAGCAACCACACGGAAGAACCGCTAAGCGCCGGAGGCAATAACCCGCTCAAGGCAAGTCTTTAGACTGTATCGTAGGGAAGTAGACGATGACCTTTCAATTCAGCGTGTCAACTGTCGAGAGCGCTCTCAGAGCCGTCATTGGCGCAATTAACGAAAACGGTTCACGAGGGAAAAAGGAGGCCATCGTCGCTAACAACTCCCCGCAAATCGTGAGATCATATTGGAACACCACACCCAGGGTTTGAAGAGCCGCCTTTGGTGAACCAGGAATCACGACTTCCCCAAAAGCTTATATGTACGGTTTGCTTTGATGGTTCAACAGAAGATGGGCGAACCCGAACAGTGACTGGTTACCAGATCCATACTTCACTGCCCATCTGGAAAGAAAGGGGTATCGTTAATTTCTACCTTAGCTGTCACGAAGAATCAGATATTAAGATGGAGCTTCAGTCGTCGCACGGCAGTCATAGCGATGTGAACGTTCGTCGTTTGGCGGTCAAGGGTTCAAAAGACAACTGTTCACTTTGGATTTTTCCATTCACATGCAAAGCTTAGAGAGCTCGCGAAAGGTCAATTCAACAAAGTCTTGGTATGGACCATGGGTATCTTTAATAACTAATATTATTAGATTACTCTATTACTTATTCGACGTCGAAAATATCCCGCCTTAGTTCTCAGCAACCATGAGCTGGTTGGCCTCGAAAGTCCACGGCTTGGGAGCTTCGACGTCGCGCCTGGCCACAGGCACGCGCTTCGGCACACCCTTCGGGATACCAATACGAGGCCTGTTAAAGGGCGCCGGGCGCTCAGCAGTACGCTTCGCAGCTGATCCAGTGGAGGCGTAGTCAATGCCGCCAAAAGCGCACTTTCCGCCCTTGAAAGCGGCCGTAGCGGCGGCCTTCCAGAGGTTGGTGATGTCGGTGTGCATGCTGGCCTCCCAGAAAAGTCTGCAGTCAGAGTACTCGGCAATGAACTGCGCGGGGGTGCCGTCGTCCCAGTTCTGGCGAAGGATTTCGTCCTTGACGTTGACGCCGGCAGCTGAAGAACGGGAGGTGACGTATGTTGTGAAGCGGTCGAGCTCCGCAATCAAGGCTGGGTCCTTGGTGTTCTCCTTCGCGAGCTGTGTGTAGCCGTAGACACTGCTGAAGCCGTAGCTCTGCGAGCCCTTGACGCCGCCGACGCCCTGGATCTTGCCCTTGATTTCGGGACGACCGCCCATGGCGATGCTCTTGACTCCGGCGTCCCACTTCATGAACTGAGAGAAGAGGGTGCAAGTCGAAGCGCAGTAGCCGTCAAAGAGGAGAACAATGTTCTCAGGTCCGCCAAAGGGCCTGGTGAAGTTCTTGCGAGAGCCGTAACCAGTGATGTCGTACCCAATACCATAAGTGGTGTTGGTGGTGTCCAGGGGGTTGTTGAAGTCCCACTGGATGAGGTCTGTGTACTGGTCATCCTTGTACACGGCCTTGAATGCCCATGTTAGCAATTTGAAAATTGAGTCGCGTATGTGCAGTGGAGAACTTACCGGAGGGAACTTGTCCGAGTAGGAAGTGAACTTGTCTAGGTTTCTGTCTAGGTCGTAGCCCCAGTTGTAAACGGCCTCACACTGTTGAATGAGTTCGTCAGAAGCTGTCTTAGGGTCATATCCCTCGCAGTTCTTGGAGAACACTTCCGAGACGGCCTTGAAGCCAGGGGAGTAGCGCCAGTGGCCAGTGCCCTCCTGGACGATGTCGGGGAAGATCTGTCGGAATCTGTGAAAATGTGTAAGCAACACCCTTCTCGTCAAGTCGAAGCACATCAACCTGAAAGACGGGAGGTCACTTACGTGTCATAGCCCTGGAAGATGTAGCCACCGCCGTTAACCTGCACATCGACGACGAGCTTGGTCTTTCCGGCGCGCACAGCAGCCGCGAAGAAATCCTGAACAACCCTCTGGAACTCAGGAGGGTCCTCGGGTGAGAAAGAGAGCATAGCCAGGACGGCGACATCTTCGAAACCCGGCTGGTCAATGAAGTAGCCGGAGACGATCTCGTCGCTGCTGATGATGACAGGGGCAGGGTAGCCGGGCACCCCAGTAGGGGTGGCAGCGGGTACGGCGGAGCTAGTCGGTGTGGCGCTGGTGGTGGGGGCGGCCTCCTTGGCGGCGACGGCGCCCGGGGCGAACTTCTTGAAGAACGTGGTGCCGTCGACGACACCGGTCCAGTTGCCCTTGAGTCTGGCAACGTTGGAAAGCTCTACAGAGGTGCCGTTCTCGAAGGTGAAGGAAGTGGCCTCGCCAGGGTAGACGTAACGGGTGCGGCCGCCCCGCTTGAAGTAGCCCGTGCCTCCAACGGCTCCGTAGGCCTTCTCGTAGAACATGGAATTGTAGGCAGAATCGGCATCCTGGTTACCGGTGACCTTGAAAATGAGGTCCTCGATGAACTTGACCGCATCAACACCGTTGATGAGAGTCAGGGCGGACGCGGTGTCGGGAGTGGAGATGATGTCCTCGTAGATCTTGATAACCGGCGTGGAGCTACCGTCCTCGCTGATCGAGACAAGACCGTAGGGCCGCTGCCATTCAATGGCGTTGGTGAGAATGTCTGAGTAGACGTACAAATGTCCGTCATGGCCGGGTCCGAAGACATTGATGAACATGTCTTGTTGCCAGGAGTATTCGTTGGGGTACTGGTCAGCCTCGATGCCGGCACGGACCTTGTCAAGGGCACCGAAGAGATCGTGGGGCGGGAAGAAGTAGTCGGCAGGGGGGTCCTTCAAGAAAGCCAAGTCGGACTGCCACTCCAGGTACGGCTTCAGCTCTTCAATGAACTTTAGAGCCGCCGCCTTGTTCAGAGGCGCAGAGTTGATGCAGTCGTAGGCAAGCTTGGCCTCCACAGTCGGCGTAGCCGTTGCTGCGAGCTGGGCGGCCCATGAAGCACTGACTGCAGAGCAAGCCGCGCCAGTGGGAGTACCCACGCTGGTGGTGGTCGACGGCGCAGCAATGCAGGAGCAGGCACTCGAGATGCGGACCTCAGCATTGCCGACTTGGTTGGCCTTGCAGTTGTCGAGGGCAAAGGCCGGAGTAGCAGTGGGTGCAACTGTGCCAGCCGTGAAAGTGGCACAGAAAGCACGCGCAGTCTCAAGGCGACCCGGAGTCTGAGTGGCCCTCAGAGCGCGGAGACAGTTGTCGGCATTGCAATCGGCCGCGCTGGCAAGCTGAGTTGCCAGAGCAAGCACAACAGCGCTGCTATCAGCCAGAGAGAACTTCATGGCTGTGTCTGATATTCAGTCTGACGAGACCGAAAACAACGAATGGCTGAGCTGATCCACTGCAGAGTGCAAGCAGAACAAGATGGCGAGCAGCTCATGAAGTATTGTCCGGGAGGCATGGAAGTCGCTTTTATATGCCCTGCCATGCATGCGGCGCTGCTGCACCGGGCAAAAGTCCATCTGTTTACCTTCCTTCCTTGGCCTGCAGATAGCAACATGCAGACCATCTCGTGGTGTCATGGTAATATCCCCTCTGCAGTAGCAGCACTGCAACGCGACAGGGGTTTGGCGGGAAACGCCCAGAACTGGCCCGCGGTCCCGAATTCCACAGTTCCCACTGACTGTTCTTAACAAAAGGCCCAAGCTAGTACTATCACCTTCCTCATTCGACTTAACATAAGAACCTTACCACTAGTCGGGGCCGTTGGCAAGACAGGCCGTTAAGGCCCTCATCACGTAACGCCAACCATTGTTGTCTGTGGAAAATTGTTTTTTTGTACCAAGTTTGTACGCCATTTCATCGCCACTGTATCCCTTACGATTAAATCTCTCAAAAACAGCGAGATGGGATTTCTGCATTGAGAAGTTTGACGTTCTAGGCTAGGAGAGGGGCTGAGGGTGGCCTCTGCGACCAAGCCGATTTGAACGTGGCGTTGGCGCCATCACCCCTGCCTGCCCTCCGCAATTGAGGCACAGATGCTCAGGTTGCAGTGCCTGTCGGCATGATTGCAAGGCTTCTTGCCGACCAAGAGTGCGGTATCTCAATCGCCAAGATAAATCGCCAAGGTGTTGAAGGGATCAATTGCCGGGGACGTAGTGCTGACGCCAAGTTTCCAACAGTAAGTACTAGAATCCTTTGCATTGGATTCGTGAGATAACATCCGCTTCTGTGGGGGCAACAGGCTTCTATGACCTCATGAAAGTAAGGAGACCAACCGTCCCAACACTTCTGGAAAGCAAGGGGTTGGGTCAGACTGTGTACGATATGCCGTTGTAATAACAGATATGGGGTGATAAGGATCAGGGAACCCGCGATAAGTGAGATAATACCTCCCTAGGTAGTAGGCTCCACACATACTGTCAATGTTCGTCAGAACAGAATACCGAAAAAATAGAAAGCGTGGTAAGTAACCCGGCAAGACTCAGTTATGCATTGGTTTTGAAAAATATACATCGCGTTATGTTCGTAGCCAATTGGGAAGGAAAGTCGTCAACTTAAAGAAGGTTGAGGCTCACTAAGCTTGACAATAGCCTTTGATGACGACCCGAGCTTATTGCGGGCAGAACATTCCTGGCATTCAATTGGCAATTCACCTACGTCGATCCCATCTGCGGCCGTAGTACGACAATTCATTCGCTGGCATTATCCGACCTGATCATTCAACAGATCTTCGCGGGCTATGAAAGACAAAGAACCCCGTTGCGCCACGATCAGTGATCACCCCGCACGGCAATCCGATCGGGGAGATTGACTTAACCCCGCCCTCAGCATCGCCCGGTCATCCCGATAGAGCCGTTGACTGGATCAAATTGATCGTAGTCAACTCGCTTCGTATTCAAATCCCCTGCATCATTGCCTCTTTTGTGACAATCTTTCTCGATTGTGGATTCTTAGACACAGCTCACCACCATGCCCGACGAAGAAGTCGACGTTCTTATCTGCGGTAGCGGGTCAGCGGGCCTCTGCGCAGCGGTCTGGCTAGCTCGTTGCGGGGTCAAATTCAAGATCCTCGAGCGCCGGGAGGGTCCGCTCCAGCAGGGCCAAGCCGACGGCGTGCAGTGCCGGACGGTAGAGATTATGGAAAGTCTGGGGCTGTCGGAGGATTTGTTGAAAGAAGCGTATCATGTTCTGGAGCTCGCATTTTGGACTCCGGACGGTAACGGCGGGATCCGGAGATCCCACCTGGAGCCGGACACGGAGCCGGGGTTGAGTTGGCTGCCCCATGTAATCCTGAACCAAGTACGCATGTTTTCCATGAAGGGCTTTAAGAACAGGGCTAACGAGACACTCAGGCCCGGATCAACGAATTCATGATAAAAGACATCGAACGCGTATCTGGGCAGCCTCATATCCAGTATGGCAGCGACGTCCAGAGTGTCGAGGTAGACAGCCAGTTAGCCAAGGATCGAAAGGCTCATTGCGTCACGGTCAAGGCGGTGGAAAACGGTGTTGAGCGCACGTATCGAGCGAAATATGCCCTGGTACGACTCCGATCATTTGCGACACCTAATCGAGTTGCTAACTGGGTGCTTTAAGGGTTGCGACGGTGCCCACAGCTCCGTCAGAAAATCACTGGGGTTCAAGATGGTCGGGGACAGCACCGACGCTGTCTGGGCCGTGATGGACGTCTTTGCCAAAACAGACTTCCCCGACATCCGCAAGAAGTGCGTGCTGCAGTCCTCAGCCGGCAACCTCGTGATCATCCCGCGAGAAGGAGACGAGAAAGTCCGATTCTACATGGAGATGCCTGGCTGGGCGGCAAGCGACGTCAAACCCGACAAGGTGAAGCATCGAGTTGACCAGATATTCAGTCCTTACACAGTGGATATTGTAGAGACTTCGTGGTTCTCCGCGTATTCAATCGGCCAACGCCTCGCAGACAACTTCACCAAAGACCACCGTGTGTTCCTGACTGGGGACGCATGTCACACTCATTCCCCGAAAGCCGGCCAGGGTATGAATGTGAGTCTTCAGGATGGATACAACATTGGGTGGAAACTCGCGGCTGTGATAAAAATGCAGAACGACCCCGCGATATTGGAGACATATGTCTCCGAGCGGCAAGAAACCGCCAACGACTTGATTGAGTTCGATCGCCACTTCACCAACCTATTTTCATCATCGTATCGGAAGGAACATGGTGTCACTGCCGAAGACTTTCAGGACTATTTCATCAAATCAGGGAGATACACTGCCGGGCTCGCAATAGAGTACAAGCCCTCAATTCTGATTTGGCCAAGCGAAGCTGATCAGCTGGCATCGGGTGTTCGTGTGGGGATGAGATTCCCAAGCGCACAAGTAGTCCGTGTTTTTGATGCCCGGGTTATGCAATTGGCGAGGGCCTTGCAGTCTGATTCACGGTGGCACGTGGTCGTTTTTGGGGGAGATATCAATGATGCAGAAGGCGCGGCTCGTTTGTCACAGGTAGGCTGAGCACTGTGTCGGCCAACACGACCTTTATCAAGGCCATTGATATTCTAATCATCATACCAGGCTACCTCGGAACTGGCTGCTTCTCTGGAACGTCTGATTCTTGAACGTTTTCACCCAGTGTTGTTGCTCAGGTCCGACCGGAAAGTGCTGGATGAGAGGAAGATTCCCAGCTTCTTCATTCCAAACACAGGGCATGGAGGAGTGCGACGTAAGTCCATCAACACCACATACTTGTGTTCATCAAGGATCCATTTCGCTGACGAGAGCTATCTGATGCTTAGGTCTCCAAGATGTGTTCGTTGATGACCAGAGTTATCATGCTGGTCATGGCGAAGCTTACGCCAAATATGGCGTCGATGTTGCAGTTGGGGCTATGGTCCTCGTCCGTCCAGACCAATGTAAGTGAGCCAGGTCTCTACCCCTCGTTCATCAGCTGAGAAGATCTCAAGACGTCTCTTTGATATGCCCATTGGGGCGAGCAGACGACATCGTCAACTTCTTCGTGGACCCTACCATCCCCTCGAAAGGTTGAGAACTATGACGTTTTCTTGGAGCGTCTATCGAAATAATCTTGGACGCCACAGCCGATTGGTCGGTACTGGGGCATTCATTGGCTGCAAGAAGAGTTTTTATTGGGTTTCCACATCTTCGAACTTCAGCTACAATCTTGAGCAATAGAGATGAGTTCAGACATAAAAGACGTAGAATTCTTTCGTCTTACGTTTGGTGCCTCATTGAGCTCGAGCACCATCAAGAAATTCTAAAAAGACTTTGTCCTCTGTCGTTGATATCCATCTGTGAGCTAACGGTAATACCTTGGTGACAAGAGCCGGCTTAGAAAGCATGCAAAGAATCTTTCCACAAAAGAGAGCATCCATCGCGGCCTTTTACAAAGCCCCCTTCTTCATGCCCCGACCGCCTTCAGTGGCTCTAGTGAAGTTGCGACATCTTTTAGCGGCAACCCATCTGGGCTGGTTTGTCCGATGATTTCGCGAAGAGTTTTGAGTCTGCTTTGGAGGAACATGTTCAATCTTGACTACAGCATTTTGAAAGGTTTCTATTATTCCCATTTTACTCAATCAAAGTGAACTCCTGTGTTCTGCATGGCTGCCAGAAGAAAGGTATGGGGAAAAGGCTTTGTATGTCTGCTTTATGTGTACTCCGCAGCTTAATGCTTTAGAGAACCCCAACAACTTTGTTAACGCTTCCATTACTATTCAATTTGGACAACTGAGGAATACGTCTTTGCTCTAAACAGGTGAGATTCAAGTATATGAAGCCGGCATATTGATGAAATCTGAAATCAACTGCTGCTGCTCTAGTCCTCATCACGTTTGTGCCATTCATTGCGACTCTGGACGACATCAGCAACTACTCGCTCAAGCAATCCATCCTCGCCTTCTATGGCATCCTGGAACTTCAGTGTCACCCAATAGCTGTATCCATTGGTTAACGCAAAAATGGCTCGCCTCAGCAGTCTACCGTCTGAGTTGATCGAGATGATATGCGACTACATCCGCCCGATGCAACCGATGAGAGACCGCTTCGCCAAGACCAATCATGAGAACACCCCCATTGATAGGGTCCTCCTGCTGGAATGGCGATCTCTTAGAGACCTCTCCGTAACCAGCCGATACTTCCGAAACGTCATCATGCACCGTGGCCTCCTCCACCGCACGCTCATCATCCGTGACTCCTTTCATGAGCTCTTCAACCTCCTGAAGCTCTTCAAGTCAGCCCCGGAGCTCGCCCTCGCAGTCAAACAGCTCTATATCTGCATATCACGGCGTGATCCCGGTCCGCTGGACCTTGGTCCCGACAACACGCTGCCCATTCTCATGGCGATCAAGGACTTGCGTCTGGACTACGAGGATGCGAGGCTCAAGATGCTCTGCAACTATGGGAGGATGCCGCAGCCTGACTGGCTCTCCGGCTTTCTATCCACCTATGAGGAGAAGTCTAATCGGAACGCGTCTATCAGGCGCTACGGCATCCTCGTCAAGATCGTCCTGGCGCAGATGACTAATCTGGAGGACATTGGCGTCGATGTGAGGGACTCGGACCTACTCAGACCTAGGATCAATGGGTACGGGTGGTCCCCTCGCGAGTTCATCCCGAACCTCTCTCAGCTAAGGGCTATTTCTCTTAGGGGGTCCCAAGCGAGCGGTCTAGGAAGTCATGATCTGGACTTCCTGATGAGATTGGGACCCGTCAAACATCTCTACATCGACACCATGAACTCGAAAACGAGCACCTTAGAATGGAGATACAATCCATTCTCTTTTTTGTTGGGCGTCCTGGACAACGTCACTACGCTCATTCTCAGCGACAGCACGTTCGTCCCCAAGGGACTAGAAATCATCCTCCATCGTTGCGCACCGCTTTCAACCTTCAAGTACAGCGTCACCAGTACACGGACACCAAGTCTCTCCCTGCCTTCTCAAGTCGTCGCCGTTCTGGGAGCCTGCCATGGCAAAACCCTCCGTACACTCTGCCTCAGATTCCTGCCCATCGGCGGCAACAACTACGTCAGCGGATCCTCCACCTCCGACAATTTGATCGACGCTCTGCGGGGATTCGACGTTCTGGAAAGTCTTTGGGTCGATCTGGATGCCGTGGCTGGAGGCAGTGAGAGGCGTCCCGCAGCATCTCAACCGGCAAACCTCCCCTCGCTGTCTTGGATCATCGGCCCGCCTGAGCACTTCGTTGCAAGCCTGCCTCGAACCCTGAAGAGAGTCTTCCTCTGTGTCCCAGATAGGACCAACGGATGGGACGATAGTGTCGTTTGGCTGGCGCGCGCAGCAGACGAGTTCCCTGGTCTGACTGACATACTTTACTACACCGCGTTCCGAGGATACACTTTCCGTATGATTAGTAGAAGGCCTGTCAGGTGTCCTTATGTGCCGGTGCTGCAGTGGGATTAATATGCTTGACTGCTTAGGGAGTTGTTCTTGAGGTATCCCGCATCAAGACCAGGCTACAGGAAGAGGGTACGGATGTTGGTATCATGGCATTAGTCTTGTATTTTTATCATTCTTAACATTAATTCATCGCTTTCATCAAACTCAAGCCTTCCCCCACCCCTGAACAACCCCAACAAACCTCTCCACCTCCCCCACCTCCGTCGCCCACGTCGTAAGCAACCTCACAACCGCCTCCCCATCGCCCCTCTTCTCCCACACGTAAAACACAAAACGCTCCTGCAGCGCCGCAATCAAACCCACCGGCAGCACCGCAAACACCTGGTTCGTCTGCGTCACCGCGTACACGCCGAACCCCGCCGCCGCAATCCCCGCCGACAGCCGCGCCGCGCACAGGTTCGCCTGCCGCGCGAGGTCGAAGTACAGCTCCTCGCGGAAGAGCTCCGCGAACTGCGCGCCCATGACGCGGCTCTTGGCCAGCAGCGAGCCGTGCTGCTTCACGTAGAACTCGAACTCGGAGGCTAATCTTGCGTCCTTGACGACCACGGCCTCGCCGAGGAGGGCGCCGTTTTTTGTGCCGCCGATCCAGAAGATGTCTGTGAGGTCGAGAATGTCGCGGAGCGTCATGTCGTTGGCGGGACTAGCCAGCGCAGTCCCGATACGCGCGCCGTCGAGGAATAGAAGCAATCCGTTGGCCTCGCATATTTGCTTGATCGCCGCGAGCTCCGCTTTCGTGTACACCGTCCCGATCTCCGTAGCGTTGGAGATGTACACCAGCCTCGGCTTCGCCATGTGCGGGAAGTGCCAGTTATCATCAACAGCGCGCTGGATCGACGCGGGTGTGAGCTTGCCGCCGTCCAGCGGCGGGACGTTGATGATCTTGTGCCCGGACGCCTCGACGGCGCCCGTTTCGCGCGTGACGATATGGCCCGAGGACGCGGCGATGACGGCCTCGTGCGGGCGCAGGCAGGCGGCGATGGAGATGGCGTTGGCGGAGGTGCCGCTGGGCACGAAGAAGATGCCCACGTCCGCGCGGCCGAGGTGCCGCCTGATGTGGCCGCGGGCGACCTCGCAGCAGGTGTCGCCGCCGTAGCCGGTTTCTTGGGTTGTGTTTGTGGCGATGATGGCTTTGAGCAGGGCTGGGTGGGCGCCTTCGGAGTAGTCGTCGAGGAAGCTGTAGCGGGGGGCCGCTGTGGGCGCGGGGAATTGGGAGGGCATTTTGGGCTGGTGATTGTTGATTAGGGAGATGATGGAGGGAGGGAGGGAGGTTGTGTGCTCAACCCGCAGCTCCCGGGGTAATTTCTATATACATTTTGACCTTGATCGTTTTGTGTTGCTAATGGCATGGAGCGCCGTGGAACGCATTATCGTCCGATGACATAAAATCCGAGCGGGTTACTAACTGCTACGTTAGTCAGTGCGGGAACCCGGTGGGTCGGTGCTCATGCTCAACAAAACACTGACAGGAACATGTCGCGTGTGTCTCGAAACTCTAAAATGAAGTACGGCTACTTGCGGCGTGGTGGCGGATATGTTCGGCATCGCGGGGACCGGATGGGGATCCCGGGTTGTCTTATCTTTTTGGCAGGGAGCAGGGAGCTTGGTGTTGACCCGTGTGTCCCTCAGCGTGCGTTTTTTCGGGGGGGTGGTCACGAGGATATCGTCTGCGACGCGTCCAGCGAGAAGTCGATGAAACTGCGGTACGTCTCCACGGTTGAGGCGTCGAGGGGCCGCGGGTATGTGAGGACCTTTTGGGACCTCGGGCGCAGGGGAACGCCGGTTGCGGTGAGGTCGTTGGCGTGGTCGAACAGCTCGGGGTACTTCGCGTAGAAGGCCGGGTCGATCTTGTAATACGACGCGCCCTTGTCCATGTTGAGCTGCTTGAACGCGGCGCGGGCGTACGCCGGCGACGAGAAGAGGGCCGTCACGTCCGGCGCCGGGAGCGTAACTGCCGGCGTCGTCGTGTCGGCATCCTCGTCGGCGGCGGTGGTTGACATGGCCGTGATGAGGTCGGTGACGCGGATGTAGACGGTGACGTCGGGCGCGCCGCGGACGAGGTCGGACATGGTGGTCTCGACGACGTAGCCGGTGACGGCGTCGCAGAAGATCTGGTCGATGTGGGGGTTGGCGGCGTGCAGCTGGATGAGGCGGTCGCGGATGGAGGGGAAGGGAATCCAGTCGATGACGCGGGGGTGCGGGTGCTTCATCTGCGCCTCTGTTGGCCGGTAGCGCTGGTGAAGCTTGTCGAAGGTGGCGGCGGAGGGGTAGAGTTGCCAGGCGGTGAGCTCGATGATGTGGAAGAAGCGTGTTTTGGCGTACCAGGCCATCACGTCAGGGCGAGTCATGCTGTTGAACATTGAAAGGACCATGAGGACTGGTTGGTAGATGCTTTGGAAGGTTAGCCGGTGTGTATATTTAGTTTGTGCTTGGGGTGATGAGTTGGTTACCCTTGCATTGAGGGCTGGCCTTCAGGAGAGAATCCGGAGGCAGCCAACTTGCTCTTCAATAGTCGCTGGAGAAGCTGGATGTGGTCCGAGAATGGCGAATTTGATAGCGTCCAATTCTTCCTGAAGACCAAGCTTGACTCTTGGGTCGCTGCCATGGCTGCCTGGTATGGCTCAACGCCGGTTTGGTACTCAAAGCTCCAGATGTTCGGGATCTGGTTATAAAGAGGGCTGATGCCGGCGGCGTTGATCAATTCTGGCAGGGAACCAGTGTCGTCAAGATGTCCTTTAAAGAGTCAGTATGTGTTGTCATGCTGATGAAAATGAGCACCTACCTGCTGCAGGTTGATGTCCCAGGTGAGCATCAAAGTCAAATAGTGTGGTGTCAAACGACGTAATGTCCATCGACCGTAGCGCAAGGGCATCAGCCGTTCCTGATTGATGCAAGTGACTTTCTTCAATCTCACTCGGGCCCTCGTGTGTCTTGCAACCACCAGAAGCTGTGTCGTTGAGCGTCTTGGACACAGTATCATTCAACCCTTGCAAGTTGGCCATGAGTCGAGATAGTCTCGTCTGCACCTCGACCAATTGCGCCCGGAGCTGACGGTTCTCCTGCTGGAGAGCTGCAACTCGCTCATCTTCTGGTTTCTGATCCGTGTTGACCCTATTGCTGAGTTCTCGGATGCGCTCCTGCTGTCTGCGCCGGAAGGCCTGCTGGGAGAGGCGGTTGCGAAGTCGTCTAGACAGGTTGCGTTAGCCGTCGCAAACGAATAATTCGTGAAATGAGTTAGTTGGCTCATACTTCCGCTCCTGCTCCGTCATTGTGTCCTTCTCGTCACCATGAGGTTGGAGCTCGTTGTGACCCATGCTGGTGGTCGCTTTCCTTGGCATTCTGGCGTTGATGGCTCATGAGTGGTGAGAAGTTGTTGGTCTGGAGGGAGCTTATCGATGGTCGCGAAATTCGGAAATGTCACCGCCCAGGCCAATTGGGTTTGACGATGGTCCGTGCGCGGAGCTAGTACCGGGGCCCACCTCCGATCCACCCTCCGAAATCTCCGGTTCGCAGGCACCGGAATCGGCGACTGGCCTTCCGGTCCTCGCTATCTCTCCACCGGCCCGGTGCTGTGCCGGCGTTGCGCTGCTTTCACCGCCCATCACCCCGCGACTCGCAATTCGTTTATGACGAAGTCCGCCCGCAGCATGTCGCAACCTTCCATGCAGACTTGTTGTGGCCATGTTTCGCTTACCGGAGATTTTAAGACGTACTGTCTCTCAGTGTCTTAGGGTGTCTCCCTGGGGTAGGTATACCGCTTGTGGGGTAGGGGCCGTTGTTTTACCGTCTTTCATCATGAAGCCATTCAAGACTTGTCACAAATGCGGTTTCCTCTTATCTCTCGCATCAAACACGCTCTTCTTCAGCAACGACCAGCCCCGCTCGTCACAGTTGATTGGCGTCTCTCGTTAGCAGACACAACGTGGCCACCCTTGAAGCCCAAAGCATGACAGCCCAAAATGGGTCTTGAAGCTGTAATGTGTCTTTAGCCATCACCATCGTCAACCACTTGGGTAGGCTCGATGGAGATCGCCAATCGCACAACCCCCTGGACGAACAAGCACCAGTTCATCCAATTGCGTCAAGTAGCGATCAGCCACATATACGAAAAAAAGCAGCCACCAGGCAAACAACACATCTCGCATGCAGCAATCACGGCAGCAGACATCGACATTGGCCGCAGTCCAATAGTCCACCAGTCTCTTCCCGCCGCCATCTCTTTTAATAGGCCAGGGTGCGGTGGGAGGATGGACCCTGGCCGTTGAAACTTGAGCGGCTGGGAGAAAAAAAAAGGGGACGCTCCTTGGCTGCTCCCGACGGGGACCCGCGGGGGCGTGGGAGCCGACCAGTTACAGGCGACGGGAGACGCTTAGTGGGGACCCAGCCACTGACATTCCCGAGCTCAGCGCAGACAGAGTGACAGCCCACCACCCAACGGGCCAATGGGCCAATGCACGTAATCGTCGTCGTGCCATTGTGGACTCTGCTGCGAAAATTGTTAGTGCCGTCGCCTTTTCCCAGCCACTTGGATACTGTCAATGTAATAGTCTGTCTCTTCGCTCGAGAAAGAAGGAAATGTCTGTGTTTTCTTTCTTTCCTAGCTCCCGTCGTTCCATTCTGTTGATCTCGGTCTTTTTGCACCTGTCAAAAAGTACAAACGTTTTTTTGTCGTTGTTCAGGGTTGGCCCCTAATCACCAAGCTTCCATTCGTGTCTTTCCCAGCCTCCATCAAGAGCGAAGAGAGACGCCAATCCCAGAACCCAGACGCAAAGTTACAGCGTAGTGTCTCATTCGTCCTCCTCCCACTGTCCCCCTCGACAACGCTCAAACGGCGGCCTTCCTCGCAATCATGGCCATGGGCATCCAGCAGCAGAACCACCACCACCAGGGATCACCGCCCATGTTCCCCGGCGACTTTGTCGACTACGGCGGCCAGTATGAGACAAACGACCGCCAGCCGCGAAACACCAACAACGGCACCGGCAACGGTCGCTACCGCCGCCCTCGATCCCCCTCCCTCGACGACGACTCTCGCTTCACCACCGGCGCCCCCAGCGAGCAGACAAACTCGGAGCTGCACGACGCCGTCCTCGCCCAGGCGGCCCATCAACAGGTGAGTTAGATTGCCTTGGCTTACAGCGAACATCCCACACAAAGTAGAAACAGAGAGAGCACGGAGCCCGAGGGAAAAGCAAGATCTGCTTTGGAGCTGGTAGCTGGTACAGGCACCGTGCCACCAGCCTCCAGAATTTCTTACCTCATACTACCTCCTCAAACTCTTTTGTCGTACAAGGAGCCAGCGCTCGCACCCCCCAACCTCCCACCTCTCCTCCCCTCCCTTTTCACACCTAAACACGGGCACACCCGCTTGCTCGTGCTGCCCAAAAAACATCAGACGAACACACACATACACCTACGCGCACATACACATCCATTACCTCACACAAACACCACAAACCACCACCACGACCGCGATCGCGAACCCCGCGACAAAGACACAACAGCTGACAATGTCTTCCACAATGCAGCAGCGAGTAGTCCCAACAACCCAGCCCGCCGGCGCGCGCACCCAAGCCCGCGCCGCCGGCCCCCGAAGCGGCCCCCCCTCCATGGCAAACGCCTCCCAGAACCGCCGCTCATACCCTCAGCCGCCGCCCGTCAACTCCCAACTGCCCCCCTACGCCGGCAACCCCGAAGACGAGTGGTCCCCGGCCTCCCGCGCCGCCGCCGCCGCCGCCGGAGGAGCAGGGGCAGGTGCAGGAGGCTACTCCCGCCGGCGCACAGAACGCCACGCGCGCCGCCAGTCCTCCACCTCCGGCGCGCCCACTGCCTCCGACCCCGCCCTCCAAATGTCCGGCGGCGCCGCCTCCTCCTCTCCCCGAATCAACAACAACGGCGACCACCACCCGCAGCGCGCGCCCTCCAACCCCGCCGGCCTGCGCCCGCCCTCCCCACCGACGGCCGGCATGAACCTCGGCCTCGCCGGCGACGAGATCTCGCGCCTGCAGAGCCCCTCCATCTCCAAGAGCGTGCTGGAGCCGCTGCAGCGCAAGATGCTCGAGTACCACAACCTTATGGAGGAGGCGCAGGGCCAGATGACGCAGCTCGACGCGGAGCTGCGCGCGCTGCAGGAGCGCCGGCGCCAGGCCGAGCAGCGGTTTGTCGACGCCAAGGGCAAGCACGACGAGTACGAGCGCCAGCACCTCGACGTCGAGAAGGCCCTGCGCGGGGACTACGCCATGCCGATCCCCCAACCGCAGCAGCAGCAGCAGCAGCAGCAGATACACCCGCAGGCGTCTTCGCAGCAGCAGCACCAGATGTACAACGACAGCCCGCCGCGGACGCTGGGGCGCCCGGCGTCGAGCATCATGAGCTACGACGAGAGGCCGATGAGCGGGCGCAGCTCGATGCAGGGGAAGAAGGGCAAGTTCCGGATTAGTTTGTTCGGGAGGTAGATCAGCGTGCTGATTTTGGTGACACAGCAGGGGGTGTTCTTCGAAGTTGTTTTAATATTTCTTAAGTTTGTGATGATGAGGCATTGATATCTATCCGAGAGAAGGGTAGGGGTACATGTAATGACTTTGTTTAATGCGCGGCATGGCAGAATAGAATGCATCTTGCGACGTTCTTGGTGAATAAAAGTTATCTTCACACATTGCAATGGCCCGCTGGTGACTGATCTGCGTCGATATTACTCTGACGGCTCGCTTTCCGGACCTAGCTCCGAAAGGGTCCATTTCCTCGGACACGGCCAGCCCCGCACCGTCCGGGATCATCCGGACCCCAACGGAATGGTTCATCTAGCCCTAGAACCGCGCCAGAAATGCCCTAATAAGCAGTGTGGTAGCATCGGATGTTGCGCCCTTTTTCGGCAGTTTCTTCGTATCCTCTCTGTCTAAAACCTACATGTATCTGATGATCTTGTCCGATTGCCTATCCTGTGACAGGACAAGCAGGACTGTAATTAGACTTGTTCAGCTTTTGCTCCCGGCACCCTACCGAAGATTGCTATCGTTTCCTCACGCGGCCAGAAGGAGCGTCATCTTCACCCTATTCTTGACTTCATCAGCAAAAGTGATTGGTTGCTAGTGACTGTCTCTGTAAGCTGACGGCTGACGGACTGAGCCCGCGCCAAGTAGTTTAACGCTTGCTAGAATGCTAGTATACGCAGCCTGACAGGCACACGTCGAGTTTTATTACTATCGGTTCTTTTATGTGTCCAATCAACAAATATTCCGTTGTGGCGTCCCGAATCCTCGGCGTCTATTCACATGACGAGGTCTGACTCCCGTCCACCAGGCTGAGAAAGATGGCAATCTGCACAACCTAGCGCATCCAACTTATCTCACGATCGGAAAACGTGATTTTCTACATTTGCCTTTCGAGCTTTCACACAATCAATACCACAGCCGTGAGCAACCTTCCACCGCAATGAGCACCAAACCTCGATACTCTTACAGCCCGCTGCCGAGCCCTCGTCACACGCGTCTAATCAGGCTCCATGCCAGCGACACGGATAACTATCCAATAACCTGTGACCTTGTGGAGGTTAACATCGACGATAGGCCTACGTACGAAGCTTTGTCGTACACATGGAACAACGAACATCCGACCAAGCCTCTGGAAATCGTACCAGCGGAAGGTTCGAACGTTACGAGCCTTCTCGTGACTACAAATTGCGCGAGAGCGCTCAGAATATTGAGGAAGCGCATCAAACCAAATTCTACTGCCAAAATTGGGCTTTGGGTCGATGCTGTTTGCATCGACCAGTCTTCCTCTGGAGAGAAAAGTGCCCAGGTCGCCATGATGGCCGAGATCTACCGGAACGCGAAAGTTGTCCTCGTCTGGCTGGGAAACAGTCATGCACCTCCGAACCGAAGGAGCATGATGTTTTTCCCGCTCCTACACCCGTTCAACGAACTGGCCATGCTAGAGCGTTCTCAGAGCTGGAAGCCGCGATGGGTGAAGATGCTGTCGTCCGCAGCACCAATAGTGGCAAAGATAGTCGAACGAGGTACGTGTTTCAAAAGCAGAACGTGTTTCAAAAGCAGTATATCAGAGAGCATTCCTTGTCAATGAAGATAACATCCGTGAGAATATACCGATTCCTGATAGTCTGACACAGTCTCTAGGAAGTACTAAATCACTGCCAGTTCTGACCGCGCCGTACTGGACCCGAGCCTGGACTTTGCAAGAGTTTCCGCACACAACTTCTCAGATACTATGCCTCAATTCGAGGACCTTCCCCATTCATGGCATAGGTCTCGCGCATGTACATTTCGAGGCGACATCAAACATCCATCTACACTACCAACTATTTGAATGGGCAAGGCGAGAAGATATATGTGGTAGCGAAAGACCGAGACTTTTGAGCATTTTCCTGCCGGATATTCTGGAAATGGAGTGCTCAAATCCCCAAGACAGAGTCTATGCACTGAGAGATCTATTTTCCAGTGTATTTGGCAGCATCAAAGTCGACTATAGCCGCAGCGTTGAGGACGTTTTTATTGAAGCTACGAGATGCCTCATTTTATCAAGCCAAAGCTTGGAGGCTCTGTACACATCCTGCATTTGCGACAAGTGGTACAGAAACGGCGGACCGTTCAAGCAGCTATACAACGTACCCTCGTGGGCCATTGACTGGACTGCTAGGTCAGACGGGCTATACCGCGCTTCTGATGGGTCATTTCGAGAGGACGAGAGCTGGTATCCGGTTTCCCTCAATATCGGGTTCACTGAATACCCCTCTCTGCCCGCATCGTTCAGCGATGACGGTCTCCGGTTGAAGCTTTGGGGGAAAGAATTCAGCCGGATTAGCAGCTGTGTTAGCGAAAAGCTCACCTTCCACGCGGACCCCCGAGCAGGTGGCAGGCATTTCATCCGGGTAGTCGCGAAGCTCTTTTTAGATGCTGCTGGAACGACATTTGCAATCACAGATTCTCTCGGTCATGTCATGGCACAAATCCTACGCACAATCTATTTGGGCTGGTCTGACATCTGTAAAGACGCCCTCAACGAGATAGAAGTTGAGCGTAACCCACAGAGGGTATGCGAATTACTGAAAGTGGAATGCAGCTCAATGTGCCTGTTGCTAAGGAGAAGAAGGTTGTTTATTACGACAGATGGTAGGCTTGGGGTTGGAAATCGTGATGTATGCCCCGGGGATTCGATATGCACATTCGCCGGCCTTAACATGCCATTCATTGTGCGCCCAAAAGAATCCTACCATGTTTTGATCTCTCCCGCCATCGTGGATGGAGCTATGAGCGAGATGTGGCCGGGATATCAAGAAGAAATTGTTCCGTGGGAGATTACATGAATAGTTTATTTGCCTTCAACCATCGAAAATGGAGAAGGGAATGTAGTGTAGGGAAAGATGATTTAACTTTCATACCAGCTTGACGTCCATCAGCGTGACCTCGCCCATTTCAAACATTCCCATACTCTCTCCCGTCATCAAATCTTCGACGTAACTTTGTGAAAAACCTCGTAAGAGCCAGCGTCCCCTGAAGGTCGCAGAACAGCCAGCCCGTCACATCCCAAGAAGTCGAAAATGGCATCGACAGGTAGTACGGGGCGAATCGCGGTACCATAACGGCCTGCCACCATAGGAATGATTGGGTACATCACGCCGACATGCTTATCCAGCGGCTGAACAAAACCATTAGCATCATGGCACTCTGGCAATGCTTCGTCGTCATCAACATCCATGTAGTCAAAGAATGAACCAAAACATTGGGCCCATGACTGGAAGTTCTCATCGACGTGGATATACACCTACCTATATCTGCGTTCATTTCATGTTGGAGGACCAAACCCCATCCCTTCTCCCTCATCACACGGCTGCGTGGAGTCGAGACCTCAGGCGAATGGCCAAGCCACGGTATGTTGAGAACCGCAGTACTGGTGTGACAATTCCAAGATGGATCCCTATGTAGGGTGCGCATCAAAGCTGTCCTGCAGTCATCGGGCACAGCGACGGCACCGGCGGACGAGAGTTGTACGGTGGGCTTCCATGCCTCGAGCTCGCCGCTTCCGCCCCACCCTAGACGCGGTGCGGTGCCGTCAACGGCATCTACCTGAAATCCAGCAGCCACGAGATGAAGAACGTGGTGCTCAACGCGAAAGATAGGTTCGCGCCCTCCACTAGCTTGGCAGTCGGTTCCCCAAAGGGAAGGATTGCATGAATCGGTGAGGTCAGGCACCCATGAGGGAATGTTGAGAGCAGTGTTGGACAGCCCAGCAAGGGAAAGTTGAAGTGTCCGAGTCCAATAACGAGGGCGTGGGCAAAATCGGAAAAGACCTGCTCCACGGGCTTGTTGTAGTCGGGCCTGATGTGCCTAGCGATATAGTCGTGCATCATGCCCATCAGCCCGTAAAGATTGTCGCGGAGATTGGCAGCGGAAAAACCAGGACAAAATCACAAATCTTATCGAGATGGAGCTGGACTTGATGCGTGGCGACGTGGAGTTTATGCGAAGCGCACTGAATCAGAATCAGGACGAAAACATCAAGCTGTTTACCGTCATCACCACAATCTTCGTTCCGCTGGGCTTCGCAGCCAGCATATTCAGCATGGATCAACCGCCAGAAACCACCACCCTGTATTATATGTTGGCCACCGCAGCCGGAGCGTTTGCTTTCACAGGAGCAATGCTTTGGATTATCAAAGAGGTCGACTTGAGGAAGCCATACGGCGAGTTCAAGGGCTTTTTCAGGCGTGACAGGACCGATATCGATGACGAAGACACAGAGAGCAACGAGGAAGAAGAAGACGAGGCTGTTGTTGGGTCAGCCCATTACTAATAACATCAATTACCTTACCAAGAGTAGCCATGGTCAACAGCGCGACTTCATTGAAAATACATATTGCAGCCCTCAGGCCTTTGTACATGACACGCAAATAAAGCAGTTGTTTATCAGTTGCACTCAGAAGTTCTTCCATGATCTAGACTCATTGAGCCCTTGATTTATGATATATTCAGCTGTCCAGAGCCGTAGTACCCAGAACTTCATGCACACTTCCAATCTTGTCGATCCTCCCGTTTGACAATAAGGCAACCGCGTCCTGGCCCTCCCGCATATTCTCGCCTAAGCCGCCAAGTCTGTGCGATATGGCGATAACCGTGTGTCCCTTTGCGGTAAACTCTTCGTGAATGATGCGACTCATGGCAGTCTCGGTGTCGGGATCCAGCGAAGCTGTAGCCTCATCAAGGAGAAGAATCCTTTTTCCGAGAAGCTGTCCACTCAACACAGAGGCCTCAGCAGCGTCCATCGCCTTTTGGAGGATCGCTCTGGAAAGTGCAAACAGTTGTGTTTGACCGGTAGACATTTGAGGTAGAGATGACATGGGAGTGTCCAGGATCTCCTTGGCCTCCGAGGGAGTAATCTCAGACTCGCCCGATTTGAAGTGAGACCATAGACCAGTCTGCTGGAGAACGTCGATGATAAGGACATCGTCGAGGCCGCGCCATCCCACCATGGATATGGGCTGGAAGCCCGGGGTGTCAGTATACATGCATCGTGCAATATGCGGAATGACTTCCGGAGTTGGTTTGGAGCTACTTACGTTGAGATTGAAGCGAAGGCTGGTTTGATCTAGAATGAAAGGGTCCTGGCAGACAGTGATGAAGCAGTCTTCTCGAATCAATGAACGCGGGACTAGGCTCAGGTCGACTCCGTCCACCTTAATACTTCCAGAACTGGCATCTAGCAGGCGGAGAAGTGCCAACAACAAAGTGCTTTTTCCGCTATGTGTGTATTGGAGTTAGCCATTTTGCTTCACTCTTATTTTCAGGGTGCCGTACCTTCCCGTGCGACCGCAGATGATAAGTTGCTGGCCACCAGAAACTTTGATTGTGACATTTTGCAGGGCAACTGCCTCAGAGCTGGAGAGTGCCGTCAGTTTAAGAACAAGAAGTTGAAATGCCTTCGGTCATACTTGTAAGCCACTGTCATGTCATTGATCTCGACTACTCCAGCTGAAGGCCACGGCAGCTTGGGAACATAGTCCTCGCCTGGTTTATCTTCTTTCGGCGTCTCTTCTTCGAGGTTCTTTAGACGAGAGCTGTCGTGTCGTCAGCGAAATGATCAGATTGCTAACCTTATGTATTGGTTTGATTGTGCGTCATGACCAAATCAGTAGCGGACGAAAGAAATTGAGACGAAGAGAGCAATTTGGAAAAGCAGCTTACATCGCACCAAGAGATACCTCTAGATTTGTGAAAGCCGACACAAAACTCAACAGTGTCGAATTCACAACAAGCACTAGGTTTAGCGCCATGCCAATTTGTCCTGCCGTCGTTGTACCCTTCATCAAAACAGCGAAGGCGATGAGACTTGTGGCGATTGCAGCCACAATCAGGTCAAGTACAATGCATAACCAACGTTGAAGACAGAACAATATGTAAGCAGGCTGTTGCGACTTGTCGAGCGATCGGATGTTTGCGTTTTCGACTTGTTTCTCCCAACCAAACGCTCGAATCGTTGCGAGACCGTCCAGCTAGCTTGACGTTAGACAGAAATTTTAGATCCGTCGTGGAGAGATGACTTACCGACTCGAGAAAGCTTGAGTACACAGCTGATTGCGACTCAAGATCGAGAAGTCGCAACTGTCTCGATGTACGCAAGTAGACCCGCTGCACAATGTAGATGGCCACCACAACAAGTGGGAATGCCAGTGTCATCATCTTCTGTGCGCTGAAAAGCAGAGCCGTTTGCACTATCAGCTTGAAGATCTCTGGCGGACCTGTTAGCGGCTGCGAGATCAAGACTTTCCAAGGCTGCTACTTGCGGACTGTCAAAGAAAGGATAGCGGGTGGCAACTGCCGATCCACCGACTGGATATCTTGGCTGAAGCTGCGATGACTTAGCAGAGGACCCGATTCGCCTTAACTGCTTACTAACCGGCTGAGAGTAACACCTATGTCAGTGTTTGAGAAGAAGGACAACGGTGCGCTACGCGTTGTCAGTTAAGTATCGAAGCCGTCATGATAAAGGAGACGAACTCAATAACGGTTCCCAGAAGTCGCCGGTGGAGCTCCATGCCGGAGTGTGGAGCTATCAAGAGCCATGTAGAACTAATCCGGGATCAGCACGCTTCGAGGTTGTCTAGCAATATCACTTGTTACTCACGACATGGCACCGTTGGTGGAACACCATGCGAGAAATGAGCACAAGACATAACCTCCGGCGTAGAACCAGGTCTCTGAATTAGGTGCTGAAGTCCATTCTTGCAGCCAGTATTGCGGAAACGTCGCAAAGAAGGCATTTCCAGCTGTGCACAGCAATAGAAGTAGAAAGTTCCGAAGCTTTACCGCTGTAATGTAGTAACCTACAAAGAGATAGAACGTTAGATAACAAGCACTGCCAAAACGGCGAGAGTCCATACCATAAAGCGAAAAGTCACCGGCCGCTCGGCTCAAGTCAGAGATGCCTTCTTCTACTTTCAGCTTCTGTTTCAATACGGTCTTGTCCATCTTAACCTCTTGCACCGAGCTTTGATAATGGCTTTCGTCATCATTGAACTTGAGGATCTCTCCGGGCTTTTGAGCTAAATCTTCCCAGGTGCCTTTGTAGGCCACCGCGCCATTGCCGAGGATCAGCAGTTGGTCAGCCAACTTAAAGTACGAAGCTACGACTGTCAGAAGATCCTCAGAGCTTTCCACGGTGAGCTTGACTTACTCGAGTTAGTAATGATAAAGGCGGTAACTCCTGCCTGTTTGAAGTATCCTTCTGAACCGATGAGGTTGTCAACGATTTGACGTTCCGTCTTACCGTCCAGTGCGCTGAAGCTATCATCCAGAAGCATGATGTCGCAACGCGCGTACAGAGCACGCGCAAGAGCCACGCGTTGTCTTTGTCCTCCAGACAGATTCAAACCGCGACTTCCGATCATGGTTTGGTCTCCCATAGAGAGACCTTCGAGGTCTTCCTTCAGGCAGCAGAGTTGGAGCACCTCTTCGTACCAGCTGTGGTCCTCGGGCAGAAACCCACAAATGGCCTCCTTGAGCGTGCCTCCTGGCAGCCAAGGTGACTGTGCACAGTATCCAATGCGCTTGGAAGACAATGAAATGGTTCCGCTGTTAAGTGGGAGCTCGCCTATCAGAGCTTTGGCCAGCGCCGACTTGCCGCATCCCACAGGACCAGAGCATATGACTGATGAGCCACGAGCAACTTCGAGGTCGACGTTGCTGACAATCGGAGGCTTTGAGACATTAGGTCGGATGGCCACGCGTTTGACAACAATTGCTGGCGCAGGTCCGGTCATTGCGTCATCAGAATCTCTCAACAAGACTCTGCTGTCACTTCGAGGAGGCTGCAGCAGATAATCTTGAATCCTCTGGAAGCCAGCGAGCGACCCCACGGCCTGTGGAATAATCGTCATGATCATGTTTGCCGGATGCGTCACCAAGCCAAGAAGGGCTGTTGTGGTAAAGGCGGTTTCAGTATCAAGGTACTGGCCCTTCTTGTTGATACTAGCAAAAATGACGAAGACTATTAGGGTAATTATTGGAGCGAAAAGACCCAAAGCATTGGCTAGTAAAGTAAGCAATTCGGTCTTCTCAATGTATTGGACGACATACCGCTAGCGTTGTAAGCCACCATCATCCATCGAACTGCATTCCATGTAAGTATGGGTCAATGGCCGTATATGTGACGAAAAACATACCACGGCTGGCCATGTGTAACTCCTGCTTCCTGAGATGTTGGACTAGCCCAGCGGCATAGTTAGTCACTCCAAGCATCTTCAACCCCTTCATCGAGGACAGCATCGAAGTTGTCATGGCAAGGCGCTTTTGCGTAGCTTCGTTCCAGTCCTTCTGCTTGCTTTGAAGGTTCTGAGCAAGGTATTTACTCATACGGGAGCAGACTCCGGAGGACATTAGTCACCGACCGAAGCCGGATTTAGGAGCTGATGACTCACAGAAGATCATGACAAAGGGTACCACACAAGCCCAGCCAACCTGTCGGGCCAACATCACTGTACCGATCAAAACCTCAATAATCTGCGCCCAAGTTTCGTGAAACTGTCGTGCGCTTTGCCCAACAATTTCTGCGTCGGTGCTCATCAACGTGATGGCCCTGGCATCATCGTAGCCTACTGATTGCTGGGTCAATGATTTGTTGTTGATGAGACCAACCAATGCTCCTCTGATCATGACCTGAAGTCGGTTCAAGCGATTGAAATAAAGAGCGCTGGAAATCTGTCGTGGAACATGAGCCTTCGTTCAGTCCCACCAAAGGGCAGGAAACTCACAGCCAGTCCGATGTAAACAATTGAAGCCATGAATATCAATTGATAGCCAGTTTGCGAAGACTCGACGGATGACGAATTCAGATATCGGATTACCGTACTGATCAAGACTGGTTGAGCATAGCGGAAGATAATGAGTGAAAGTCGGGGGAATATCGGGGCCAGGAAGTGTGACCAGAGGCTATTAACTAGGACGCGAGGCAAGGTGATCTTGTTCTCTGGCTTGACTTCAGATGTGTCAGTGATGCCAAGTATTGGATCCCTAGGGTCCTGACGAACCTCTCTGTTCCCAACATCTCAGAGCCCGACGTCTAAGCACCTCCGATGAAAGCTCGGTATGCAACGAAGGAAGACTGTCTCCGGAGAGGACGAACTTGTTTCCTCGGGCGAGGATCGGGTTGATCCACCAGAAGAAGGTTCTGCTCAGCACGCCACCTACTTCTTCAGGACATGATTGTTCGCCAGTGTTGCGCAGGATCGATGCCTTGCCTCGGCTTCCAGCGAAAATGAGCACAAATTTCAGTGTCAGGTTGGCTATGCCCATATAGAGAGCATCGGTGTTGTTTAGTTCGCCGCTTGCAAAGGCCAACCAAAATTCAGTAGCGTCACATGCCAAGGATACGAGCAGATAGATGATTGACAGATCAGATGGTCTGACCGAGCGAGAGTGCTCTAAGAACAGCAGAGGGCAGAGTAGTATGCATGCCAAAAATGAGGCAATTGCAGCAAACTGGCCGATGTCGAACTCAGTTACCAGCGAGACTCGTGTACCGCCAAGGAAAACCTGCACCAGGGCCAGCAAGACTGCAATTATCTGCTTGGGGTAAGTCTCCATACGCGCGATTTCAACATAGGCTCAAACATACAAGTGTCACATATCCCCGATGGCCTGGCACAACTTTGATCGATTCTTGGCGCAGCTTCCATAGCCGAAATGGTGATAACAGCAAGAACACAGTTGACGCTGCTGCGGAGACGGCCTGAGAGTTGTGATCCATGATGGGCTCAGGTAGGCCCAGAGCGATTGAAGCAAAGCAGGTGAGGAAAGCAATTGCGATGTGTAGATTTGTTTGTGAAGGGTTCTCCACGACAATTGAAATCGGCGAGTAAAAACCAACCGAGCCTCAGCATTTCAAGCACTGGTGTAGCAGGCGCAGCAATGTTGACATTCAGGGAACCAAAGTCCCTTTAGGCGATACCGACATCGCGTCCGAAACATCCAGGGGCGAACCGCCAATGAACTCGCTGGCTTCAAAGCAAGCTGCAGGGGTGGAATGTGGGATAGCTGAATACGAGCGGCGCAGCGACGACCAACACGGATTTCAGGGATTCAGACACCTTCCTGATTGGATTACAGCGCCCTGGCTAGCTGCAGGTACCAGGAAAAGACGGCATGTTGATGCAAAAGATTGAGGACATGGCGCGAGATAAGCCTGGAGATGCACCCCAGCTTATCGCTGCTGACACCATGGTGCTGAGCTTACCCGCGATGGCATCATCCATAAATGTGGGGCCAGATTTTGACAAGATCCGCAGACATACTAGGTTGTGGTTGTGAGGGAATCGTTTAAGTATCCAGTGCATTATCGTATCAAAACTTGTTACTGGGATTGAACTTTACTTTGATATGCTTCTGCCAACTCTTTGCCAAGTCGTCTAGTCCGTCTAGGTCCTAAACCATCTCTTCACACTACTTTCCTCCATGCGCTCCTCAATTTCATGATCAACATGAGTCTCAGCAACTGCATGATTGTCCTGAGTTGCTGCCAATACCGGTTTCGAGCAAGCGGGTTCCGGCTGATGCCCAGGTAGATTGACAACAAGTATCCTGCTAAAGCCAGCATTGCTGGCTTCCGCCAGGTGCTTCGTCTTCGTCCGGGATGGGTAGGTCCCTAGATACCTTTTATCAGAATATCACGTCCTTTAGTGACGCGCAAAACCGGAGACTTACACTTATTTGCAGGTCGCCAAACTGAGGGAACAAGCAACGATACAAGAAGTAGACTTGTGAGTAAGGGTATGTTGACCCATTCCACTTCTTCCCCTCCTTCGAGCCTCTCAGGTACCAGCTATTGCACCCGGTGTACCACACTCTATCTTGCATGTCTCTTTGCATCTGCTCGACATATTCTTCTTCTGCATTCCTCTTGACTTCTACAATGGTACCTTTGCCATCTAGCAATGGCTTGATGATACGAAGTGAAAAGTTGATGGAATTCTCAGCGGCGATGATTGCAGAAGTGTGCCCAGTGAGGGAATTAGGGCCTGGTAAACCGCAGTCAGCAAATAATGAAACGTGTAAGGCGCGCCAAGAGACTTACCTAGTAGCACAAAAAGGTTGGGAAAGTTGTTTAGAATGGTGCAGTTGTACGCCTCTGCGCCGCCAAAGCTCTCCCAGTGTTGATCGATCGTCTCGCCGCCTCGCCCAATAACTTTCAACCCTCCAACCGCATTGTTCGTCACAAAGCCGTTGCACATGACTATTACATCTGCTTCAATAATGCCGTCCTTGGTCCTGATTCCTTCTGGTACGATCTCAAGGACCGGATCGTCCATCAGAGTCATGTTCTCCGAGTGCAAGCTCTCGAGGTATCCGGAGTCAAAAACGCGTCGTTTGCAGCCAAGCTCAAAATCGGGAATGATCTTGTCGTGGTACTTCTCCGGTGCTGTCGCTCTCATGTACTTCTCAACCCGCGCCTGCACTCTTTTGCGGTAGCGCGTCCCGGCATCAGTCATGTAAAACCCACGAAATGAGTCTTCTGCCCAGGCAAACATGAGAAGCCGCTGGATCGTCATGTTACCGGGAACGCTGCCGAACACCTTCTTCATGAACGTCGTGTTGGCAGAGTCGACTGATTCCATGATCCAGTGCTTCGTCCGGATCACCTGCGTGAGGTGCTTCACCTTATCCACGATCGCTGGTATCAGCTGTGTGGCAGTGCAGCCATTGCCGAAAACGACCACCTTCTTGCCCTCAATGTCCACACTCGTATCCCACCGAGAGGAATGAAAGATGGCTCCTTTGAAGTTCTCGGCTCCCGGGACATCGATTGGGTTCGGCTGCATGAGCTGCCCTGTGGCCGTGAACAGGAATTGGCACTCATGGGTGAATATGCTGTCGTCGCTGTACCGCCGAATGGTCATTCTCCAGCGTTGACGTACCTCTGACCACTCACATCTCTCGACGTCAACACCAAACTTCATCTTGTTTGTGAGGTTGTACTTCCTCGCAACGTGATCCAGATATCGCCATAATTCCTCCTGCGGTGGCATGACCCGACTCCAGTTGGGGTTGGCTTCGAATGAGAAGCTGTAGAGCGCGCTTGGGATATCGCAAGCACATCCTGAAGTCAAAGTCAGTAACCTAGCTGGCCCTTTTTGAAGTTGTTTCCCATGCCTGGATACTGATTCACAAACCACGTTCCACCTAGCTTGCTGTTCCGTTCAAAGAACTGGATGTCGCCGATGTCATACCACCGTTTCAACGTCGCGCCAAGCCCGATGCCCGCGAACCCAGTGCCCACGCATGCGAATTGGCTATAACTAGGAACCTCACTGTTCGACATGGTTTCGGTTGATCTAGAAGTCCTTTTTGCATCTGTAATCACTGTGGGATACCGGCGATGATCTAGCTCGTAGAGAGGCAGAATGAATGAGGTCAAAAAGTCAGTTTCAAAAGTCTACCAGCTTGCGTAGCTGAACCCTGCTCGGTGCGGGGATTACAAGTTATGTCGTAGTTGATTTGGTTACCTGAGCCTGAAGCGCCCATACCTCGGCTCGTGCCACGTTTCGCGCTTCTTCGTCCGACAATAACCAGCACATCCGTGCGATCTTCCGCTGAAAGTCTGAACTATTGGCGGGCTTGTGAAACGGTCAGTGTTCATCGCGTGGCAGAACAGCTCCCACAAGTGAGCCGATGAGCGGGGGAGCTCTGACCAGGAAGGTGAGGGGAAACCGTTGCTGGGTCTGCTAGTGCAATGAATTGAATATCACTCCATTGGTCAATGGCGACGACGGAAGACATCTTGCATTAGCCTCAATGGAAAAATGTAACCGTTGGAGGACCGGAGGGTCGGAGGAACTGTGAGTCGAAGATCCCGGTTAGTTCATCTCGATTTGGTCCCTGTCGTCCGCTTTACATCACCTCGGCTCAATAGCCGAGCTGGATGATTGACGCTGAAGACTTGGCAGCAGGGCAGCGTGTGTGTCACAACTGACTTTACTGAATTGGGCTGTAGATCACGCGAGATGTGGCATTTGTGAACGAAATATACATAATTACATTTGTGCGGTGCTTCGATAATTAAAGCTCCTCGTTCTTGATCCCGTTGGTTTTTGCCTTGCTAGCCTCTTCCAAGTCAAATGTGCCAGTCAAGTCATTGATCTTCTGGCGGGGGGTGTAAGGGATATCCTTTGCACTGGCGGTTGTCTCTCGCGCTAGACGCCATATCCATTCTGGCCCTGCCCTCTATTTGATTTGGTCAGCCATATCCTAATTGTTCATGGGACATTTTCATGACTTACGAGTGCGGTAACCAAAGACATAATTCTAGGAAGGTAGATAGTCCCGCCGTATCCGCTGTAAAGACCATTCACAATTGCCTCACCAACAGTGTCGACATGAAGCAGTGGCATAACAAAATGTGGCTGTCCGGGGTTGAACGGGACAAGAGGCGTCCTAATGAAGCCGAAGATGCCAAGGGTTTGTCGAACTTTCAGTGCTTTGTGGATGTACTTCAACTCGAGTTGCAAAGACTGTACTATGTTAGTCAAGCGTCGGCTTTGGGGCGTGGTCACCAGTAGACTGACCTCATGCATGGCAGTCAGTCCTGCTTTAGTTGCAGAATAATCCGCGATTCTGACTGGTGGGACCACCGAACTCATCGACCCGATGTTGACGATATGTCCATGATTCCTACGAACCATATACGGCAGGAACTCCTTCGTCAACAAGAAGGGCGCAATGAGATTTGTCTTCACGGTGAGCTCAATATCGGCATATGAGCCTTCCATGATTGTTGCTCCCCGCGCGATACCGGCATTGTTGACGAGAACCGTAGGATCCCCAACCTGAGTCCGAATAAGAGTGCAGAGCGTCTTCAGTGCCGCCGTATCAGTCAGGTCGCACTTGAAGTAGTGAAGCTTGGAGCCCTTGGGTGGTTCCCATGATAACGGGGCCAAATCTACCACAACAATCGTCGCTTTTGGGTTTCTGGCAAAGATGTGCTTGATGATGCTTGCGCCAATGCCGCTGCTGCCGCCGGTGACGACAATGATTTCTCGATCCCAGTCCCACTTGTTGTCCGTCACCCAGTTGTTTGCTGACCATTTGTTGAGATATTCCGTCGTCGAGAGTACAAAACTAGCGAGCGCAGCAATGTAGGCTAGTCTGCGAATATTTTCGGGTTTAACTCCGGAAATCCCAATTGCTCCGTGACCTTGCGCTGCGGCCGCTGCTAGCCCGGCGGCAATGGGTATTGATAGAAACGGGTTGAGTACTGATTTTCTCACCCATTGGGCAACAACATCGACCGTAAAACCTTCTCGTGAGAAAGCCATTGTCGTAATTCACAATTGGATCAGTATACAGAAGCCGAAAATAGTCGGATGATGTTCGTTGTTTTCATTAATGCTCCAAGTATCATTGAGGGCTACTTCTCCAATCTTGTAGTCGAAACGATCACGTTTCAACCCGGAGCAGAAGCAACTCCAACCCCTGCAAACCATATTCCGGGAAGCTGAGCCGAGGTCCCCAAACCGCGCCACGAGATCGAACTGGCCAATCTCTCACCGAGGATGTGCCAGAGCATGAAGTTGCAGCATCCGTGCATTGGTTCGCTGCACATCAAATGAGGGGACCATTCAGCGTTGTGCGCGGCTGGAGACAGCGCTCTAACCCAAACGGGGCGATGCGATTGCTCAGATGCCACGCAGATCTACGATAGTATGCGACGGTAAACGAGTGCGAAGGTTTCTTGACGCAGCTCTCGTCCCTGGTTTATGCCTCGGTCAGGACGGTCGGTAGTTGGGTTTGACACATTTCCCCCCAAGCCCGTGCCTCTGCGGACGGACATGTCAGTGACATTTTGGGCGACACCTCTTCTGTTTCCTGAGGTCAAACCGCTTTGTTTGATTGCACAGAAGACACAAGAAGGTCGCCCGAAATTCTGTACCGTACTGTTAGCTTGCTCTCTGCTGCCTATTTGCCCACATTTCCCTCCCACTGGCTTGGGTAGGCGAAGCTTCTGTTTGACACGAGACGAACCCAAATCACCATTCCAATTGCAGCTCATTGACGCCTATTGAAAACCAGTCGTTGAAGATGTCTGCACGATCGTCTAGACCCCAACTATCGCTGGGCGAAAAGAGAGATCTGCTCTTGCGGCTTTTGTTCCGAGGTATGTTTTCTTGATGAATTTAAGATGAACTTGAGCTGACAACCTGGACTCGTAGCCCCATTTCAGCTTGTTTGGAATTTTTGCTATGGGGTACCGTTCGCAATCGCGAGAGGCATGTCCCTTCGCCTGTTTGCCTTCTGCGCATTCTACCGCTTCGTACTTGGGTCCATGAAAGCCCGGGAGATCCAGTTCTTGCAGCCGCCTACTCTCAAGACGTACGAGACTTGGATCGAGAAGAAGCGCCTTGCTAATCCGCAGCTCGCTGAAAAGCTGAAGCGAGATGTCGAGATGCTTCCAGCGAATGACGGCTCCATCATGTGGCTCGGCAACCGCAAGAAAGCCAAGAAATTCGTGCTCTTCTTCCACGGAGGCGGCTACGTCGTGCCGCTACTGCCTGGCCACGTCGAGTGGTGCTGGGAGGCATACATTGCCGGCGGCCCAGGTGAGAAGACGGAAGTGGCGGTGGCTATCCTGCAGTACACTCTCGTACCCGAAGCGCGGTATCCCACACAGCTCCGTCAGGGTATCGCTGCTCTCAATCACCTGCTTCAGTCTGGCGTCAGGCCAGAAAATCTCATCATCGGTGGTGATTCGGCAGGAGGCAACTTGGCTCTCTTGGTAGCCCGCCACCTTTGTCTCCCAGCACAGCTAGATATTGCACCAGTCAGCCTCAGCGGACGCCTCGCCGGCGTGTTTCTCGTTTCACCGTGGCTCACAAGCAAGACTACAACGCGTTCCTTTCAAGAGAACAACTTTGTGGATATGCTCACCACGACATGCATGCACGGCGCCACGGCGGAGCTGCTTCATCCCCGTTTCCCTGTCAAGAACAAGTCCGACGAGAGCGATCTGGCCTTGGCTATGCCCATGGATGGAGATCTCGGATGGGTCAATGACATCTCCAACGCGACGAAGAGTCTGTACATTACTGGAGGTCAGCAGGAGGCATTCAGGGATGATATTCGGTCGTTTTCGGAGTACGTCAGCTGCAGTAAGAACGATTTAGATCTACTTGTCGAGTTATCCGAGCACGAGGGGCATGATTTCATCTTACTCGAAGGAAACATTAGGCGCGTTGGGGATGCGACCAAGAGAATGAGAAATTGGGCTGCTGCGCAACTTAGTTAGGCTGATCATCAAGATGGGGATGCACTGCACGATTCGAAGGCACTTTTTTGCTTTCAGCGAACAAGAAGTCAGACTGCATAATGATAAAAGCACATGTCTATGCCACGGTCACTCATCCTTACTTGTGAGGCGAAGATGAATATGAGTGGGTCCAAGCTGGATATAAACAGGCCCACCGTTCAGATATATTGCCATCGTCTCAACTCTCCTCATCCCATTCACTCATCCATAGAAATCAGCGATATTTCAGGTCAATAGTTCACTTCTATTCAACAGGCCACCCTTCTTTCTCCACTCCTGCGTTGGCACATAGTTGCTCTCCTTGAGAACTTTCCACATTTCGGGATCCTTGTCCTTTTTCACGCGAATTGCTTCGTTTTCAAAAGTAGATTCGTAACATGAAATACTTTCACTCAACAACCACTTCAACACCTTTGCATTACGGTCTCGCAACAACAACAGTGCTAGTGTCTTGCGCATACTGCTGGTATAATTCGGTGATTTCTCATGCAGCTGCTCCAGAGCCCTTTCTAATGAATCAACCTCATGACGATCTGCAAACACAGCAAGGAATGGCGAAATGTCTACAAAAGATGAGAGCTTTTGACTCATGTAGAAAATTGGCATTCGGATACATACCATCGACAGGTTCGAGCGAACGGTTGATCCAGCAGTTGATCTCATACGCCACAGGATCCATGTCATATAATTCTTCATGAACGTCTTCGTCCCCAGGATGCTCTACACCAGCCATCAAAAGATGTTGAAACAGATGAGAGAAATACTGCTGTTCCGTGATTTTCCCGCTGCGTCTTTTTCGAGCTGCGGGAACGGAGCAGAGGGTCTTTGCTTCTGTCGCCATGACGGGGTTCAAAGAGGTGGGCCGCCGGGTGGGGCCGTGTTTTTTGAAGGGATTCAAAGTGCAAATGAGCGTTATTTACTTGGATACCTAGGTATTTTCATCGGAAAAAAGACAGAGATTATCTGGAGCGTCTTTATACTACTTTCAACGACACATAATGTGAGATTTAAGTGAACAT